TGAAACGGGATTATTGCCATGACCAGCGCGAGACACTAAACCGCAAATCCTGATTGATTGCTGAAACCCCGAAGCACTAATGCAGGGGCCTTAATAGGTAGACAGGGTTTGGGGGCCCAATATACTATAGTTATAATAAGGAACCTCCAAAAGTATTGGTAATAAATTTAGGCCCCTACGTTACCCTTGTGGTTCAGTGGAGCTTCCTTAGTCTACATGCAGACAACAGCTGGCAGAGTCGAAAGCCGTTCCCCAGTCTCCCTTCAAGAGAGCCGTTTTCTGCAAAGACTTACAGGGTATGCCTTGAGTCATGACAAGAAAAGGTCGTCTCGTCGTAGGTTACGGTTACCTAATTCATGGTTAAGTGGCTTCTGCATTCTCCCCTGCACAACCGCGATGAAGGCCGAACCCGGTGACTGCAGATTGCGACGGACGCAGGTCGCGCTCACAGACGCAGCGCATGCTGGCAGCAGAGTAAGGAGAGGTGTAGGCTGAAGATCTCAGAATCTCGGTTCCTGAGCTTACATGCACTGCAGGTTATCCAGATCTGGGTAGGACAGCAAATGTCACTACCATAAGCACGCAAGCCCTGAAGCCCCGACTTTCACCGAAGAGCGATGTTTCTCGGTGTCACAAAGCAACGTCTCCATTTGGCATCTGGGGTCGTGGCCACATATCCGGTGCTGATTAGGGAATAGGGAAATGGATCCCTACATACAGTAGTTCCTATATAAGCCCAATAATAGTCTCCATAATCCATTCCCCCATTCCTACAATCACCAGGGAGCAATGTTTGTTACTTTGTTAAGCTCTGCAAACCCTAGCCACTTTGATACAGTTAAGTTTGCTAACGTATGTTTCAAACCCTATGTACCATTGTACGCCATTGTACACGTGATGCCTCAAGTATAAACTCTAGAAACCCTAAACCTACACGCGCTAAACCCAAAGGTGGGATGACGCGGAGCAGCTGGAACTGTCGAGCCAGGAATCAGCAGTCGCTTTACTGGCTCAGGTATAGATTCCTTCAACCCCTAAAACCCTAAACCCCTGAAGCCTGAACCCCTAAACCCTGACCCCTAAACACTAAGTCCGTAAACCCTGCTTAAGGGTTTTGGAGTTTCTGGGTTTTGTGTGTGTGGGCTCTGGTCACGGCCAGGAGTCGCTCATCTCCCGTGTGGCTGTCGTGCTCAAGGCTCTGCAGGACAGGCCGCCTCTTTTCCTTAAGAGCGAATATTAGCAACATTACTCCAAGTGCTTGGGGTTCCTAGTTACTTTGGTATGATGCCACGTTTTTATTAGACTATACTGTACTATGTCCTAAAGCCCTATTCGAACCTTACCTATATAGTAGCTCAATCAAAAGGCTTGCAGAGATTTCAGACACAGTACCCAAAATTGTGTTTCTTGGGTTTGTTGAGGTGTGTATCGTTGGTAAGGCACGAGCTTGGTTAGACTGCAACAGCAGTGCAGAGATGAGTGCCCTGTGCAGGTTCGGAACCGAAAGAAGCGATAACTTCCACGGCCTCTGACCCTTTAGCCCTGCGTTGACCCCGAATTACCTGCCCTTTTAAGAACTCAGACAAGGAAATACATTAATAAGGAACCTTATATGCCTTATATGGTAGGTTATTCAGGGTTAGGGTCATTCCTAACCCCACGAAGCCCCTAAGCCTGACTGTCGAAGCCCATTGGCCAGGCTGACCCACAGAAGAAGTGCTTCTCCTCTCAACTGCTTTGCGAAGTGGCACAGGAGTGTTTAGGGTGCTGGGCTTAGGGCTTACTGTTTTACGGTTCCTTTCTGTGATATCCGTATGAAAGTCAGTAGAAAGGTGGTCTATGAAAGTCCGCAAAATGGTGGTTAGCGAAGGGGTTTTGGTGGCTTAGGGTTTACAGGGCTTGGGAGGGTTCTGGAGATGCGGTTGGATGCAAAACACTAAGCTCCTCTTTCAAGCTTGCAGCATTCTGAGTTTCCAGCCGCAGGTTGTATGTAGGTTGGACATCTAGTCGCGGACAACTGCTTCCAGGCTGAACAGCTTGCTGAGACCCTATAAACTCTACACCCTAAACTACCCAGTAAATGCATGGGTGCACAAACCCTATGAACTCGGGACTGAAGATCTGGTTTGGGAAACCGTTCGTGCAGGGATTACCTGTAGCTGAACAACCTGCCTTTGTTCTGCCTTCCCGGTTTTTGTTTTCCTTGGAAAAGTCCTTAGGGATGTATGTTTTTGGGCCACCGGTTGGGAGTAAAGGAGTTTTAGGGTTCGAGTTTCGGGGCTCAAAGAGTTTACTCTGGGTTGGCGAAGGCCCTCTATCTCACGCAACAACTGCATAAGCTACCGATGTCCTCGGAAGATTACAAGCTTCAGGGTCCCAATGCGGTTTGCTGATTTACCAATTCCGATATCTTCAGGTCCACAATTTACAATAACTACCATCCACCATATCATGTTATACTATGCCTCACTACACCATGCCATACTAGACCATACTATACTATGCTATACTAATACCTTGTTCATACCGTACTACACTATACCCCAAAGGGTCCTAGGTACTGTTATGGGGGATCCTTCCCCAAATCATAATAGTAATTCCGAATATAGAAACCCTACATTCTACTAGACAGGTACTTTGGATCCTTTGGGGACCGTACTACACTGCACTGGCCCGGAGGATTCCTCTGTCCAGCGATTGCTTCACGGCCGTTTGCTGGCGAGGGTCCTGGCCGAGGACTCTAGGCCTGTCCTGGCATCGTGGGTTCCTTCAAGGGATCTATAGGGCTCTTTTAAAGGATCTATAGGGCTCCTTTAAGGGATCTCTAGGCTAAGGATGCATAGGGCTCTTTTTAAGTGATCCATAAGCCCAAAAGCCCTGGCTCGGCATTTTGCGGTAGGGTCCTTTGCTAATTCGCAAATCCTCTGGGTTATTTGAGGCTGTTTCGTCTTGGCTTTAGGACTTATAAGGGTTTAGGATTGGTTTGAGGAAGTTTAACGTTTAAGGGTAGCATTGTCAGGATCTTGGGGCTTATAGGGTCTAAACATGTTCTTCAAGCTTTGCAGAGGAAAGTGTGTGTTTTCTCCGGGTCGCGGAATGAAAGCACAGCACAGCAACCGCCCGCAGAAGCAGCTGTGGCGTAGACTTCGGCTCGCAGAACTGGCTTCCACGCACGGATGTTATGCGCCAACTTGCAAAAACTTCTAGAAAATTTGGTCCAACTGATATTCAGCATGCGGAAGAACGACAAGGTTCACGCATAACCAGCGTTCGGGATAGCCAGTTTATAGTTCCCTCCCAAGCCTTGCAAGCCTGAAGCCGCCGAAATCCTACTGCACTAGGCTTGAAGCTCACGAGCCTCTAACAGGGGTACCTTTTTCTGGAGAGGCTACCCGAGAGCTCCAGTTTCCCAACAGTAGGTTACGAGCCAATCAAATAATAGTTACCGCAGTGGCCCCAGTCACCTAGTATGTTGATACTACAGTAGCCCCAGGGAGACATAATATCCCGATTAAGTTCCTGACAACAGATTAATTATGCTTCAATCCAGAGTCAAGGTCGCTTGGGTAATCCCTGGAGCCAAGACCCAAAATCGCATTGATGTATGTAGAGCCAAGACCTGCAGGTTTGAGCTGGAGGAAGATACCAAGCGCGGAACAACCATCCGCTTCTCTGGTTCGGGCAAGCGCACAGGCGGATTATTGCTTACTGCAACACCTACTGTCGCCATGGTCGTTAGTTGGTTTAGCCAAATTAGTTCTTGGCATTCCAAAAAAAAATTATCAGTAACCCAGTGTATTTAGGAAAGAGGAGCCTCTGGGAGAGTCTGGGTATGAGGGCTAGCTGGGTTTCTATTGCAGGGTTGGTCGCCTCTGCGAAGCTCCTTCTTCGGTCTCTTCTTTGCCAGCAGAAAGTCGGTAGTTCCCTAATTTAGGGTCCCGTACCAAGAAAGAGAACCTAATTTAGAGATCATCAGGATTCGGAGGCCAGTAACTACAGCAGCTGTGCGGCGAGCGGGGATGGTGTTTCGGCGTATAAGTTATTCTAGGTGGCAATCTGGGAAACTTTTTAATTTCCCTTATGGTTCCTATAGAGGTACCTATTCATAAATACTTTTCAGAACCCCAAAACTACAACCCAGTATTAGATCTTTCATACTCGGCCATGCCTTGTGCAGACCTTGCCAGGGCTTGTCCGAGCGTGAGTGCTAATTTTACAAATAATCCGGATAGTGGCAATCTGGGATTTTTCCCAAATAGCCACTAATTTTTCGCAAATTGCCACTATTTTGCCCCAATTGCCACTAATAACCCGGATAGTGGCAATCTTGGAAATCGCCAAACAAGTTGCCACTAAGTTTTCCCAAATTGCAACTATTTTTCCACAAATTGCCACTAACTTTTCCCAAATTGCCACTAATTTTTCACAAATTGCAACTAATTTTTCACAAACTGCCACTAATAACCGGGATAGTGGCAATCTGGGAAATCGCAAAATTGCCACTAATTGTTTCCCAGATTGCCACTGCCACCCGCTTTTCCCAAATTGCCACTAATTTGTCTCAACTTGCCACTATTTTTTTCCGAAATTGCCTCTCGTCAGCAAAACAAAAACACCTGCACGGTAGTGGTTAAGGAGCGTGAATGTGGTTCAAGGTTGGCTTGAAGAAGCTTCATGAGCTTATTTTAGGGGTTAGCTTCTAATACAACGCCCGTATCAACTGCAACTTCGTTTAATTTAAGTTAACGATATTAATGTTGTGCTAACGTTCGGTGGATAGTAGTCTTAAGCTGTGAATGAAATTAAAACTCTGTATTTTCTTAATGTTATGGGATTCTAAGGGTGGGTGGGTGTTCTTTCTAAACCATAAACACTACTTTGCTGTAAAACTGCTCGATCCGGAGCTGCTGGACCCTAAACCCTAAACTATATGAACCTGAAACCCGTGTAGGGTTCGTTTTGTCTTTTTGGCCAGGGTCTAGTGTTCATCACGCTCGTGGATGTGTTGCCGAGGTGGACGGGCCAGTGAGCCAGCTGCCCCTGCGAAGATCGGACATGGCCGCTGTTAATGCAAGTTGCAAATTGCTTGTGGTTTTCCTGTGGCCGGCAACCTTATGGCCTCAGGGTATTATCAAAGTCCCAATATACTTGGGTTGAGTGACATTGTCCAGTCATACCATGACAGTTAGAGTATTGAACCGCTGGTAACTCGTAGTTTCGAATGACCTGCCATGAAAACTCTGCGAGTTTTCTTATAGCCCCTTGATCCTGGCATTCCACTCCCAAAGACGCAAAGCCTGCAAGCCCCACATTCCAAATTGGAACCCTTTACCTTAAAGACCCCCTATGAGACCCCTAAAGGAACTGCCAAGGGAACCCTCTACCCTAAACCCTTCTTTTTCGAAATCCCCCTTCCTGAAAGCTTGGGCCTGGAGAGTCCGAGCGAGCACCGCAGAGCGCGTTAGAATTGGTGAACTCAGAGTTTAGGGTTTAGAGTTTAGGGGGCACTAATCAAGCCTGTGGAAAAGGGTGAAAGGTTTAGGGCCTTAGGGTTTTAGGGTCCCGACCCCTTCATGGAATCCTAGACCATTGGTATAGGATCCCTGAAAGACATCCCCCTCAACCGTTGATGTTAAACCCGTTCGGCCGCTCTCAAGGTCTGACTCTCTGCGAGCGGAAAGTCTCCGTTGAAGTGCTTGCCGTCATGGAGCGGTCTTAGCCCTAGCTTCACCTCAAAAGCATCGCTTTTTTGTAGGACGTCTGCAGTCTACAAGGAATCATCAGGAACCTCTGTAAAGGACCCCGGAAGAAAAAACATACCCTTATGGGAATCCTGATAGTAACCGTGAAACGTACAGCACAGGGTCCTTGAAACTATATGGGTTCTGCCATGCTTTTGTTGGGGGGTGTTGGGGTGTCTGTACCGGTTCTATTTGGGCTGCGGTTGCTCCACGATTGCTCGGCTTCTGGAGCAGTTTCCGGGATGGGTGCTAGGCCAAGTCCTGTGAAGGTATGCGGCCGTGCTGGACAAGCCTGCGGGAATCTCGACGGAGGACATGTGGAGAGGTCTCGGCAAGCGTAACTTGGGTAAAGTCGCAAGCTCTATTCTTCCAACGCCGACACATAGCAGAAATGCTCATTACACTGTAATTGTAGGAACCTGATGAAGAAGCCTTGTGCATTCATTAGGGTTCTTTATATGAATCCTGCTATTTGGGGGTTATAGGCCCAGGGTTTCTTAATCAGGTTAACATTGCACCACCCTAAACCCTAATTAGACCCGATGAGAACTAGCAGCATCAACTCCCGAAGGACCTGATTGAGGCATACCAGGCGGAGATTGATGCTGATGCCGATGGGCAGAGCTATCGCAGCTTGGCTGTAGCCCAGGAAGCCCAAACACCATCTAGGTAGTTGTCAAAATTAAGGTCCCTTTCGGGGTACCCTGAACAATAGGTGCCGTATTATAATAGGTACCCCTAAAAGTACCATAATTTTGACAACCACCCATCTGACTGCGATATGCAATGAAGGTCAGTTGCACAGCTTTTGTAGCGAACTGCGCCCTGATCTCCATTTCGGCCCAGCATTGCTGTCTCTCCGACATTTGCATAAGCTCATGGCCAGTCGTCAAAACAACCCTGCATATTATGCGGTGAAGAAACAAAACGTAGCTGCAGCGTCCCGGCCGGAATCCGTTGCATCGACCAAGCAACAACACACTCTTCCACTCGTGCATGTCAGCCTGACACACAGCCTTGTTGTTCTCGGTCCTAAGTTCACCAACGACCAAGTCAATCAGCACTTGGCGGTGAAGTCACATCTGTTTACCATGGGTCTTGGCAAAAGTGATCCTGGTAGGACTCGAACCTACAATCCCCGGCTCCGTAGGCCGATGCCTTATCCATTGGGCCACAGGACCTGTGCTGGAGCGGAGCTTGAAACTGAAACAAGTCATTGGTCTGATCTTGCCAGCGCGCACCGACACTGCCCACTGAAGAATCATGACTCTGAAACCCCGAATCGAAATACCAAGTCCTCAGCCTCTACCTCAAAGTTCAAAACCCCCGCCCCCGACCAGAATTGCTAGACACTACAAGTGTCCCCCTCCACAGGCCGGAGATGCCCTAAATCCTGCTGAACCGTAGCGGATGTACGTGCTCAGCCCAAAGCCCTAAACTTTAAACCCTTGCAACTCCCTAGCCCTAAAACCCTCCACACTTTCTCTAGGAGAAATTCCTCTGCTGCAGACGGAGACGGAAAATGGCGTTCAAAAACAACAAAACCACCCTCAACCGTAGGAAATCCTTAAAAACCCAGGAGTCCAATCGGTTTCTCGCTTGGATCTGCCCACTTCTGGAGCACTGGTCGTGCCACTCTGCAAGGCTCTCGCGGTGCCTTCAGTTTTTGAGGGTTTCGGCTTTCATGTAAAATTTAAAGGGACCCTGCTAAAAAGTAGGTTTGGGCAGGTTAAGGTAGGGCGCAGATTTCAATGTTGAGGGTTTAGAGGAGATCGGTCTGAGTGCAGGGTTGGCGCTCAGCTACTATAAGGACCGAAAGGATTTTGGTGGGGATGTGCGGGCGGCATGTGAAGGTCCACGCGCGATGGTGGAAGTTCACGATTTTTTGGGGTCCCATAACCCTGTAGACCCTAAACCCTAAACCCCGAGACCTCGTCTGGCTTGCCCGAGTTGCGAGAGCGTAAACCCTAAACCACCACGAAAGATGCTTCGATGTGTTCGCATGCAGCGAACCCTAAACCCTAAATCCTAAAGCCATGTACCCTAAACCTTAAAGCCTAAACCGCTCTAAACCCTAAACCGCGAAGATCCAGTCCTGCGGCTTACTCCAAGTGTTGATTCCCCATTCTGGGCTTGCCGAAGATGACGCCCTTCCAGAGCCATATGTGTGTGTATATATATGTATATTGTTATGTATGATTACATAGAGAGAGAGAGAGAGAGAGAGAGAGAGAGAGAGAAACATACACGAAATAAGCTGTAGGGCAGTACACTTGTGCACCCCAGAAAGACTGTTCAGGAGGGAGTGCTGGAAATCAGGGACCGCAAACATAGAGCGGCTGAGCGAGATCATTGAGTCTGGCTGAGAGAGAGAGAGAGAGAGAGAGAGAGAGAGAGAGAGAGAGAGAGAGAGAGAGAGAGAGAGAGAGAGAGAGAGAGAGAGAGAGAGAGAGAGAGAGAAGAGAGAGAGAGAGAGAGAGAGAGAGAGAGAGAGAGAGAGATATACATATACATATATATATATATACATATATATATATATATACATATTGTGTGTATATATATATATAGAGAGAGAGAGAGAGAGAGAGAGAGAGAGAGAGAGAGAGAGAGAGACAGAGGGAGAGACACGAAATAACGATATCCTGATCCTAAGGATTCCTAAAAACCTTAAAGCCGCCCACCCCCCAGTGTTGAGTACATCAGGAGGCTGAAGAGGACTTGAAGTCACGATTTTCCTCACGATGCTCGGCGGAGCTTAAAAGGGGATAGGATTTAGGTCTCAGGGTTTAGGGCATTTAGGGTTTAGGGTTTTGGGCGGGGTTTACGGTTTGGGGCCTTTAGGAATCAGGGTTTGGAGATGGAGCCTTTCCGCCTCGACCCTGGATAGCGGAACTTGTTTCTGGTAACAGTCCTTTCTCAGACTACGTTCTTGTCAAGTTCTTTCGGGTTTTACATAACATCTGCCCAATGAAAGGCTTTCCGAAAAGGTAGTCTGGGGCTTCATGTGGGTCACAGCCCGCCCGTGAGCTTCATTGGCAGTACAGATTTACATTATATGACTCTATCACATGATCCTACTATCATATTTGTTCAATTATCAACCTTCTTGGTAAACCCACAAGACTCTAAACCCGAACCGCCGTAAGCCAAGACCACCCAAAAGCCCAACTCCCATCGAGCCCCCCCTGAGGCCCCCAAACCGACAAATATCTGCAGAAGAGGGTCCAACGGTGGATGGTATAAATCCTGCATTACCTTAAGGACCCCAAACTATGGGAATTATGGTATATTCCTTATTATGGGTCATGCAGGATTTATATCATCAACCGAAGTACCAATACCGTAGGTACTTAGTAGATAGGTTTGGGCGCCAAGTGTATGCTCTTTGCGATTACTTGGGCCCCCTGGTTCAGGAGAGGACCAAAACCAGAAGTGTACCGAAACCCTCAAGCCCCAAAGCCTGTAAGCCCATGGATTCCACGAGTCTGAGCGCCGAAACCTCTTTCTAGGATGCCCAGTAATACTCTTATTTTCTTTTTGTAGTCCTAGGTTCCTTATAAAGTTACCCAATACCAAAAAGGGAGCCCTTTTTGGGCATCCTAGTAAAGGAACCCCTCAACCTCTAAACTCTAAGCCCTATAGATCCCTTAAAGGAACCCTTACCCTCCCAGGGCCCCGGGAGGATCTAGTTTTTGGGTCAGGAGAGGTGGCGAAAGCGTACCTGGCTCTGGCTGTCGGGGATGTGGTCCCGGATCGAGGCCGTGGGCCTCCAAGAACACTTAGGGCTCAGGGTTTAGGGTGTTGGATGTTCAGAGTTTATAGGGTTTAGGGTTTAGGATGTTGAGGGTTTTGGGTTCCGGATTTTCAGGGTCTAGCGTTGGGGGTTTAGGATTTTCAGGGTTTAGGGATTAGGATTTTCAAGGTTTAGGGTGTAGGGCGTATAGGGCCCAGGGCTCATAGCGAGTTTAAGATTTCCAGGGTTTGGGGTTGATAGGAAAATACTACGCCACACTACACTACAGTGCACTATACCATGCTGTACCGCATTATATTCCTTTGCTATACAATACAATACTGCACTATACGATGCTGTATAAAACGTGCTTTACTACTTACTATGCTACTATACTACTCTGCTACGATACTACTATACTACTGGACTACTATACTACAAGATCACTACACTACTATAATTCCATACTAACATACACCCATCAATCCAGCAAGGATGTTAAAATCAGAAGTCTCGTTCTCCATGAGGGTTTCCGCCTTTGCCAGGAAGCATCGAAGCAAAGCTGCGCAGCGTTCAGACGGCCGACCGGCACCGCGCAGTGCCTTGCAGAGATCGGGTTTAGGGTTTAGGGCTCTGGTGCATGCCAGTCCGTGCTTAAAACAAGGCAGAGAGCCCACGAAGGACGAAATGTACCCTGAAAGGGCTTAAGGTTCGAATACCATATGGCTGTTCATAGTGTAAGGGTATCGGGACCTTTCCTTCGTGGATCGTTCGGAAACGAGCCGTTGGACAAACTCAGAGCTAACATGCAACCTCCAAGCGAGCCACTATTGGATTATTGTCGCGTGTGAAGGGGCTATTAATGTAACATGTTACAGTGCATTGCAACATGAACAAGTGCATGGCATGGGTCATAAAGTGGTTACACCGGGCTTCTCGTGCGGTGCTGCTTCACGAAACCCCACGTAGAGTAGCTGAGGTATCTCTAAGAAAAGCAAACGCGCGACATTTGTCACTGTCATTTACTGTAGGTAGACCCGAAAATGCTGAAGGCCCTATCTCACTCCTCAGACCCGGCCTCAATTGGGATGTTGCTTAGAACTACCTGTAGCCGAAAACCTGCCTGTGGCCCTGAAGGTAGTCCATCCCTACGGAAAGCCGGCTGTCACCTTGCACCTGCGTTGCAGAAGTATCGTTTTCGATGTTGTGCTGTATGAGGTGCAGGAACCGAAATTGATGACAACTGGATGACGAAACACTGTTGCTGCTCACCCTGCTCGTTGAGAGTCGACAGGTTGGCTTTTCCATCGGATTCAGCTTTCGATTGGTTGGTGCTTTAGACTGCATTGCATACCCCGGACCTGGACCAAAAGAGCATAGGGTTCTTCGTTTTACACGGCTTTGTAGAAACCTCAGCCGTTTTTGGTTCACAAGGCTTTCCGGCTTGGGGTGTAGATGAATGTGGGTTTAGGGCTTAGGCTCAAGGGGCTTTGGGTTTGCGGGGCTTTCTTTCTTAAGTTTTAAGGGGCTTTCTGAGTTGGTGCTCGTTTTGCCATGCCTTCTTGTATCAGACGTGGGCGAGACGGTGCATTTCTTGAGCAAGGACGCACAATTCCAGCTCCTTACATCAGGACTGAAAGGGCGGTAGTGCAGGTTCCATACCAGAATATGGGACCTTAGTAATTCCCAGTACTATCTTGGTGCTCCTTATTGTAACTGTAGTATACTGAGCCCCGAAACCCTAGGCCCTATTCTAATTCATAAGGCCCCAAAACTAGGTGCTCCAAATGCTGAACTGTTGAAGTCCTCCACAGTCGGGCGTCCATCGCAGATTTTCCTCAAAGACGAAATGAGCCCTAAGCAGCTTTAAGGTTCATATTACCATATATAGTAGAAGCCAGAAAGTTGGAACATGGCTTTAGGAGGATTGGTGGTAGGTAAGGACATGGGGATAATGATGTTCCAACTTTCTGGCTTCTACTACAGGGATTCATACTGTAAGAGCGTAGGGCCCTTGCAGTACTTTGAAGGGCTCGTTTGCTGCTTAATTATAAGGTTGCACCAAATCTACGGCTCAGAAGAAGTATGAGCCGCTGTAGAACCTGAAAGAACCATGTTTAAAGAAGTATTATAGAACCCTCCCAGAAACCTGTTGTCGTACGAAAACTCTGCGTCTACGTGGTTTGGTACGAACCTCAAATCCCAGCCAAATCGTCGAAAAACGAGGTACAGGAAGCTCGCGCGCTTAGACGGCGACGTCCACAACAGCTGCTGCTCGCTGACACCAGCTTTTTAGGGTTTACCTATAGTCTCCATTGTAGTTCCTTTTTGGGCTTACCTTTTCGGATCCTTGAGATAAAATTGGTTAAACCAAAAAAGGAACTACAATGGAGACTACAGGTAGTGTTCAGCCCGAAACCCGAAACCCAAAGCATCCGCATCTGTCTCCTAAGCTTCAAATCCAGCCCCTGAGCTCATTGCACCCCTCGTGCCTGTATCCCCTAAACCCGAAACCACCCTAAACCTACAGACCCCCGAGACGAAGCCGGCCCACCACCAAAATCCCTGATAGAATCCCTAGAGTTGAATATGAGGAACGAACTATTATGGTAAGTTCTGTCATGAGCCCCTACGAAAGGCTATTCCCTGATCCTGGCATGGCCTCTCACCGGGCGCATGCATCAAATCCGAGCTCACTTCGCCCACAAAGGCTCTTGGGGTTTAGGGCATTGGGTTCGGGGGTTATATAAATAGGTTTAGGGGTTCAGGGTTAGGGTACAGGATGCGGGTTTGGGGAGTATGGAATTTGGGGTTTGAATTTATGCTTATAAGGTTTATTGGTTAGAGTGCAGGATTTGGGGTTTTTGTATCTAGCTTGCGCGGCTTAGGCTTCCAGGGTCTGAGGTTGAGGGCAAAGTGGCTCGACTAACTGACCCTGCTGTTCTGAGGCCATTCTCTTGCCAGTGGGATTCTATTAGGGTGGATGAAGGGGTGGTGTTTAGGGTTTAGAGGGCTTGAGGGGTTGAAGATTCTATAGAGTCGTCCTCTGTGTGTTCGCGCCGCCCTTCGGCACACATGTCATCATGCCAGGCTTGGAAAAAGGTCGTAGCCCAATGTCCACCCTAAACCCGAAAGTCTAAACCCTATAAACCCTAAGCCCTATAAACCCTAAACCCTATATTATAAACCCTAAACCCTATAAACCCTGAAACCCTATAAACCCTAAACCCTATAAACCCTAAACCCTATACACCTTAAACCCTATAAACCCTAAACCCTATAAACCCTAAACCCTATAAACCCTAAACCCTATAAACCTGAAACCCTATAAACCCTAAACCCTATAAACCCTAAACCCTATACACCTTAAACCCTATAAACCCTAAACCCTATAAACCCTAAACCCTATAAACCCTAAACCCTATAAACCTGAAACCCTATGAACCCTAAGCCCTATAAACCCTAAACCCTATACACCTTAAACCCTATACACCTTAAACCCTATAAACCCTAAACCCTATAAACCCTAAGCCCTATAAACCCTAAACTCTAAAACCTAAACCCACATCCTGTGGCCCCCAGAACTGGAAGTCCTCCGCCCCAGCTTGATCAGGGTCACTTCCTTGCTCGGAGACCTAGTTTAGAACAACTCCTGAACTCCTGAATTAAGGCAGTTGAACGATTTTTTTGAATTCCCTGTGAAAGGCCCATGAGCCCAGACAAAAAAGTTTATCCTGTAGCCCTATTCCTTCAATCCGTGCACATGCTCCTTTTCTCGATGAGAGGCTTCCCGCTAGCCGGGGACGTGCGCTACGCCCCCAAGAAGGACGTGAGCTTTCGGGCTTGTGGGTGCGGGTTTGGGTTTGCAGCTTGAGTGTTAAACTTGTAGAGGAGTTGAAGCTCAGGGTGTAGGGGTTTATTAGGCTTAGGGGGAAAACATAGGGTTTAACATGTAGGACTTAGGATGTAGGCCGTGTAGGGATGAATTACCCGTGACTCCAATTATTCTGTTGAGGTGTATACAGCGTACTGTACGAACCTGATTAAGAAACCCTTGGCCTATAACCCCAAAATAGTAAGATTCATATAAGGAGCCCTAACAAAGGCCCAAGGTTTCTTATCAGGCTCCTACACTACACCTTAATATTTCCAGAGCAAGAGCCTGCCTGTCTGCAGGGCTTGGGCGGCGCTGAGGATGTGACAGGGGGGGGCAAGCCAGTGACTTTCAATTTGCGGTATTCGGTTTCGCGCAGTGTCTCTACCCAGAGGCTCCATAGTAGTTCCTTTTTGGGACTACCTTATAGGTTTCTAAATATGAACCCCCGAAAGGAACTACTATGGAGCCTCTAGGTAGTTCCGAAAACATCAGAAACTTCGCGTATGGCCTATATATCGATGCGAGCTGTGGGCCCTTCAAGGATCCCAACCGGTGTAGCCTTGTAAATCCCCAGAGTTTTGAGTGCAGGCTTTAGAGTACTAAGGCCGAGTATAGGGGCCTCAATAATTGCCCATCCCATTTTGGGGGTTCATTATTATAGTTAGAGTATACTGGGCCTCAAAGACCTATTGTAATTATTAAGGCCCCTATATTAAGCAACACTGTTGGCTTTGGCTTTGCAGGATGCCACGGCTTGGTGTGGTCGGCGCTTATTCCTGCACGCTGCACATCTTTCGCTATTCGAGGCTTGAATAAACAGTACTGGGATACAGTTCACGTAGATGTTTTGTTCGAATCTCATTGCACTTGAGATGCATGCTTCATGGAGGCCACGTGTCTAGCAGCCTAAGTGGAAATCTAGCGTAGCTTGTACGCTCCAACCAGCTCGCAACAAGCTTCAGGCAAGCGCTGATAGTGTTTCCCTTTTTTCCGGGTGTCCAATCCCTAAACCTAAACCCTACCCCTAAACCCCTAATCCCAACAACACAAAGGGTTCAACGAAGCCGGCAGGTGGCTGTAAGGACCCAAAGAACTATTTCACTCCAGCTTATTAACAGACTCGGGTTCAATCTTCAAGGGTTTAGGCCCAGACCTTCCAAAATCCCTTAATTAAGGAATATACCTTAAATCATATTAGGGACCCTATTATAATTTAAGGTATGTTCCTTAATTAAGGGATTTTGGAAGGTCTGGGGGGTTTAGGTTTTCATCTTCATGGGTGTATAGGGTTTAGATGGTTTCTGCAAGTAGGGTAGGCCTGACGCTTCGAGTGCCTGTGAGAGAGAGAGAGGCTTGTTAGGATCAGAGGCGTTTCAGGCTCCGGTGCCCAGACCTTCCAAAATCCCTTAATTAAGGAATATACCTTAAATTAGAATAGGGTCCCTAATATGATTTAAGGTATATTCCTTAATTAAGGGATTTTGGAAGGTCTGGGTGCTTCAGGTTTCGGGATGCAGGATTACGTCGTTACGTTGTGTGGGGCATGGGTTCCGAGTCCGAGCCGGGCAGAACACAACCAGCGCCCGGAGTGGGTGAAATGGTGAGGTTGTTTGGTTCTGCAACCTTTTTAACAAGTGATCCAGACCAAAACACAAAGAATGGGCCGCAATAGTAGAGTTATGCGTAGTCCCAGCCTTTTTCCATTTGTCAAGTTATCTACGAATACGTGCTGTTAATGTCGTGCGACAGGTACATACATGGATGACTTCAGACACGCATGCATCGGGGTTATTGCCGCGCAACTTGAGGGCGGCCCCAAAGGAACCTGTATAGGGCTTCTTAGGTAAGAGTAAGCTTTAAAGGAACCATAAGGCCCCTATATTATAGTACCCTTGTAGATCCCTTTTAGTAACCCTTATCGACCCCTTAAAAGGAACCCTAAAAAACCTTATAGGTAATTCTTAAAGCCTTAAACCCCTTCAACACCCGCCTGACCATCGCAAGGACGGATTTTTGGCATTCTCTCCGCCGAAAGAGGACCTCCTACAGCCTTTAAGAGAGCCTTGCTCTTCACATCCGGGTTCCCCTTTAGCATTCCCTTAAGGGCTCCTTTTGAGGATTGCTGTAAGACTTCCTTTGAGGGTCCCTCTAGGATATTCATTGTCACAGGCATTCTCGGTTTAGAGTTTAGGGGTCGAGGAGTCTGGGGGGGGGTCAAGTTAAAGGAGGGTGTTTATGGGTTTATCGGGTTGGGATGGAGAAGACACCCTAAACGCCTAAATCCTAAACCCCAAATTTTAAATTTAAATCCCTAAACCCTAAACCTAAAATTTTAAATTGAAGCCCCTGACCCCTAAACCCCTAAACCCTAAAACCCTAAAACCCTAAACCCCCGGCCCCCTATGTTCAGACTGAGCCTCGAGGGTTTGTGGCTTTCGGGGTTGGGGATTAAGAGCAACCTAGGGGCCTAAATTAGGTTTAGGATTTATAAATGATTACCACTAGGTTCCTTCTTGTAACTATAGTATAAAGGCCCCCCAAAACCCTAATCTAATTATTCAGGCCGCCTAGTGTAGCTCCATCATTTGTCACGCTTGTACTCTGAAGCACGAGTGTGAGTGTCAAAAGAAGCTGTCAAGGCACCCATGGTAATACCTTTTACATGGGCACTATAATCCCTATACTATCCCAATATGCATATATATATATATACATGTATATGTATAGTACATATATATATATATATATATGTGTGTATATATATATGTAGATGTATATATATATATATATATATATATATATACACACTCCAAAAGGTTATCCTGTGGTTACCCAGGATACTGGACAAGTAGGTACGGGACCTCAAAAGCGAGAGCTGAAACTTCGCGCGTGCAAGTCCTGATGAGAGCTATTATAGTAGAAGCCAGAAAGTTGGAACATGGCTTTAGGAGGATTAGTGCTAGGATCCCTTATACTTTACCTTAAGGGCATGGGGATAATGATGTTCCAACTATCTGGCTTCTACTACACGGTTTCGTAGGGTTTGGATTTGCACAGAGTGTCGGGCCGTGTTGTAGGTATGAGTTTTCGGGATCAGACTTCTTGATCCCAGGAACTGAAGCTGCCCGCAGATCTGCTGGAGCAGCTGGCCGACCCCGGAGTCTACCAAAGATGCCACCTGCCTACTCACAAGCAAGAGGGGGTGGGCAAAAAGGGTTTCATGGCCTTTTGATTGATCCAAGAAGTACTGCAACTCAGCACAAAGGGAAGCGACACATGCGGGTTCTTGTCTGTTCCAGTCTCAACCTATAAACCTCCACCCAGGTTGCTTGTCATGTGAGACCTATGCCCTTTCGACAGTGCTTTGATGCAGCCTTCTTGTTCGACTCTTCCTGTCGGAGTGTTCGGAACAGGCTGGCCAGCGATAGAGGACGCCATGGGATCCCGGGAAGCCGCGAAGCGGATATATGCTCGTATCGTCTTGTTGTCCCTATCGCTCGTTGCTCTCAGTGCTGCGCAGTCTCTCGACACAGAGGATGTCAGGGAGCTGGTGGATTCAGGACGACTAAATGAGAGTGGAGACCTTCTACAAGAACTTTTGTTCAATGCCACTGCTGATGGTGATGTGGACATGCTGCAAGTGCTGATCGACTTCCGGCCGGCCGGCCTCAACATCACCAGAGGTTCAGGAGAAGCGCTCGTACACGTTGCATCCTTCAGTGGTCAGCTAGATGCCTTGAAGTTCTTGTTGCTCCGCACACCGGAAACTGGGTTCTTGTTAAGGGGTGTAATTTCAGTGACCATAATAAGGAAATGGTAGCTTCAACTTAAATCCTTCAACAAGAACCGAGGAAGCGCTGACAGCGAAAACCGAGCCAGGCCTGACGGTGTGGCACATGGCAGCCACAAGTGGCCACATGGCTGTGCTCCGGTTTTTGCTTGAGAAGTGGCCAGAGGGCATCGCCGTTCCGACATATGGCCCCGTGACCTGGGATCTTGTTAAAGAATTATTATTTCTATATTTACCATAATAGGGATCTATAGAATTTAACTGTATTATGGTAACTTAACTTACCCCTAAGCCCCTAAACCCCTACTTGGGGGGTCGGGGGACTTAGTAAGTAGTTAGTAAGTAGACTTATAAGTACCCTAAAAGGGACCCTAATTGGGGTTATGATACTTATAAGTCCCTAAAATAACCAGTTACTAAATCCCCTAAACCCTAAACCCTGATAGAATCCCTATAGATCCCTTTGAAGGACCCCTTTAAAGGAACCCCTTAGAGTTACTAAGTCCCTAAACAGTAAAGCTCTTCACAAGAACCCAGGTGAGCCAGGGACCCCAAAGTCTGTCCTTCACTCCTCCCTTTTCGGCTGCCTGGGGGGGTCATGTGGAGGCATTGCGAAAATTAGGGGTAACCTTATTTTGGGGTCCTTATTATAAGGATCCTACTATTTAGGGTACTATATTAGGGTCCCCTATTTCCGGAAACCCCAAACCCTAAACCCCTTATAGATCCCTTACGGGAACCCTTATGGTACCCTTTAAAGGAACCTGAAGGGTACCCTATTTTCGGAAACCCCCATGTGGAGGCATTGCGCCTTATGCTCGAAGCGGAATCCGAGGGCTCCGGGGTCGAAAGAGTGAAGCAGAGGACCGGAGATTAGGGTTTTGTTTAGGCTTTAGGGTTTAGGGGTTAGGGGTTTAGGGTTTAGGGTTTGGGGGTTTAGGGTTTAGGGTAAGTCGAAAGAGTGAAGCAAAGGACCGGAGATACTGGAGCGACCCTGCTGCACATTGCAGCAGATGCCGGCCAGGTTGAGGTACTGAGGTACCTCCACAGCCAGTGGCCTGAAGGAATCCAGGCCTTTTACGCACCAGCTCCACAAGTCGACCACGGCAGTCACCTGCCTCTGATGTCCGCATCGCTTTGGGGCCACTTGCCTGCTGTGCAGTTCCTCCTGGAGCTTTGGCCGGAGAGCATCAATCTCTTCGCAAAAGTCGACAGTTTCAATGACTACCTCACCGGTGGCGGCACCTGCGTCCACTATGCCGCAGTCGGAGGTAGTGTGGAGGTGCTGGACTTTTTGCTGGATCGCAAACCGGAAGGAGCCCAAGTCAAGGACGGTGGGGGTGCACAAAGAGGGTTTAGGGTTTGTAGAGCCGGCTCATGGAGGGCCTTCAGAGAGACCTCGTTCAAACAGGGTTTAGGGTGCCTCTGTTTGAGCCGGAAGGCAAGCTTCTGTTTCTGTTTCTCAGCAACTGCACAAGCAAGGATTTGACTTTGGGACGAAATATCCCGCTACACTGGGCGGCAGCTGCGGGAAGCTTGGCAACAGCTCGGCGGCTGCTTGAGCACTGGCCGGAATCTGGGATTCTCATTAGCAGTGGCTGTCCTGCTTTGTTGGGATTCATGCACATATTCCTCCAGTGGTATTCTTCCTCCTTCCTTTTGTGGTTACTCATAACCAACTAATGGCCTACAGGAAGGCATCAGCGTGCGGACAGTTGTCGGCTTGTCAACGCCTCTTCAAGTAGCCGCATTCTATTTCCAAGTGGAGATGGCCCTCTTTTTGCTGCAAATTCCAGGAAGCCTCGCCCCTGACGATCTTCTCTTCTGCAGATTCGTGTTATTCCTCGGTTGCACTTTGGACGACCCCGCGTGGAAGGACGCAGCGGTCGACCTTCGTTGCAATCCAGTGAGCCTTCTTTCGAAGCCAGATGTGGAGCTGTGGCTGCAGTGTGGCGGCGATGTGGGCTTTCGCGACAGTTTCTTAGGGGTACTTAGAAATGTGTTTTAAGTTTTGGTTATTATAATCCCTAAAAAACAGCTAAAATTGTAATTGTTGCTAGGGTTCTAGGTTCAGTATAGGTTTTGGGACCGCGTTGGTGGACTTGCTCACAGACGACGAGGCGAAGGAGTTTCTCGAAAGTGCCCAGATCTCCCAGGACCCGGCAGAGCTCCCCCTAGACTGGACTCCATGGGTGGTTTGTGCAGTTGCTCTTGCTGCGGCAGTAGCTGTTGTGACCATGGAGCGGGCAGCCGCCAATCGATGCAGAGCGGACGCAGATCGTGATGAAGATGTGTACCAGGAAGGAGCAAAACGCATGGTGGCACAGGCATTTGCAAGATGCGTTTCTGGGTTCTTGTTCAGTACTTTAGTTTAAGTTACCATAATAGGGGTTAAGTTACCATAATAGGGATCTATAGCAAATTAATATGGTTTCTTTATTATGGCCACTGAAATTAAATCCCTTGACCCCTATCAAGAGCCCAGGTCTGGTTTTCTTTTCTCTGGCGGCTTCTTGAGATCTTTGCACCACGGCTGTGGTATGGTGCCGCCGTGACCAACTTTGACCCGAGATTCTGGTTTCCTCTGCCATAGTTGGATGACTTCTTTTGCTTTGTTATGGGTACTTTTAAACTCAGTAAGGAATAAAAATGTAAAATCTTAACCCTGTCCCTAAACCCTAAACCCTAATACGATCCCTACAGCTCTGAGGACTCATACTTTAAGGCTTTTAGGCTCGAAGACCATATTATGTAAGGCTTTTGGGCTCTTTTGAGCCTTAGGGTATCCCAACAATGAACTAGGTTTCCGCTGGTGACGTTCTTCTACTTGGCACCGGCCATTGCAATCTATGGGCCAAAAAGACTTCTGCAGCACCCAGTCCCTTTACTGCTCTTAGGAATTATCTTGTGTTTTTACTATAATGTCTAGCTTAAAGGGATCAGTGATAATGTTATTTTTATTACACTATAACTTCTATAAAGGGGTTAGGGATTAGTGATAATGTCATCTTTATTCTGGTTTTAAGGGCGGCTAAGGTCCTGGTACTTGCATCAAGCAGTCCTGCAGCCTATGCCGTGGCCCTTGTGCGCGCGTTTGTGCTGGGAGGGCTGCATCTCGCGTTGGCATTCTACCTATGGGGTATCCCCGGTGCTGACCATGAAATGCTGGGGCGATTCTTCACGCCCCTGTTGAACCCAAACGGTCATGAGGTGGTTTCGAGGGTGCATCACGTTTGGACGGACCCGGACAACAGTTTGCAGAGCCACTGGCTCTTTCAGTGGGCAGGGCCTGTAACAGCCCGCGAAGTGTGGGAATTCGATGATCGTTCTTCCTTCCTCTTTCTTTTCATGTTGGTGTTCCTCTTGTCTTTGAGCCTCGTCTTATGGCTCCTGCGATTCTGCCTGCCGGGAACCTCGCAGAATTGGCAGAGTTGCGGCGGCAAGGCGCAGGTTGCCGCCTTGCAGCAGGCGACCAGAGAGCTGCTCAAACTTCAACCAGGACAGTTCACTGAGGTGGGAGTTTCCGAAAATTAGGGGTACCTTAAAGGGATCCTTTAAAGGGTTACTATAAGGGTACCATAAGGGTTCCATAATAAGGGTTTAGGGTCTAGAGTTTCCGAAAATTAGGGTACCTAATTTTGGGGTCCTTATAATAAGGATCCTACTATTTGGGGTCCTACATTAGGGTCCCCTATTTTCTGAAACTTCCAGGTGAGCCAAGGGATCAAGCCAGTCCAAGGCTTCTCCTGGTTTGGGGGCGGGCTTTATGTCAAGCTGCTCTTCATGCTCCTTGATGTGGGCTTGGACATCAACACCGTCTTTGTCTTCCTTTCCGGGGAGCAGTACACCGTTGCTGGAATCGTGGCCTTCGTGATAGCTCGCAGCATGCTGACGCAGATGTACATCCTGAAGCCGTGGAACATCTTGCAGGCTTCATCTTATCCTTGGCTGTTATAAGGGTTGCAACATGAGGATTCTACGAAATAACAACATTATATTGTTCAGTGGATACGACAGGCGTTACTGTATCCAAGCAAAGTGAAGGTCTACTACTATAGCATATGCTACTGTCGTAGTAGCTGTTCGGATTGCCGGTTGTGTTACACGGAGATAAAGTATGCAGATCAGCGACTCCCCCAAAGGGTTGAGGAGTTGATTGCAGGACGCAGTCTGGCTAGACTTGAGTCCAGTAGAAACATGAGTTTAGGATGAAGGAATTAGGGTATAATTATCAGTCCCTAAACCCCTAAACCCTAAACCTTAAACTCTAAACCCCTAAACCTTAAACCCTACGGTATCAAAGTAGATGTCATGTCAGGCAGTCAAGGACAGCGTGGCCCGAGGCATCCTGCGACGAGATCTCCTTTACTTCCTGGAAGTAGCCTGGGCTTGGGAGTACCACACGTTAATAATGCTTGTTTGGGACCTGTTACTTAAAGGGAACCAGTATGAAATAACAGTCTATACCTGCAATCCCTGGTTACTTCAAAGCCCAGTATCTGGCCAGCTGTTGAAAGTTGGAATATTAGGCTATAGTATACTTCCATAGCCTAAACCCTAAATCCCTAAACCCTATAGCAAACCAAATCTAGGTAGCAGGGAAAAATAGCAAACTCGACCGTAAATCCCTAGGCCCCCCTAGTAGACTAAACCCTAAAACGTACATCCCTAAGCCCCATAGTAGACTAAATCCTAAACCCTCGAATGTGAGCACCGAAATCCTTAAACCCTGTAGTAGACTAAACCCCAAACCCTAAATCCTTAAACGTTATTGTAGACTAAACCCCAAACCCTAAATCCCTAAAACCCTATTGTAGACTAAAGCCTAAATCCTTGAAGCCTGTTGTAGACTGAAGGCTCAACCCTGAATCCCTAAACCTTACGGTTGACTAAACCTTAGATCCCTAAACTGTATAGTAGACTAAACCCTAAACCCTAGATCCCTAAACCCTGGAGTAGAGCTGGTAATGCAGGAACCTTGATAATCAGAATAGGGTTTTGGGGCCCATTATTCTATAGTTATTAATAAGGAACTCCAAAATAGCATCGTTTTTTTGAGGCCCCCCTATTAGGACAATTGCACCTAGGACAGCTAAGGAAGAGCAGCGATCAGAATCCATTTTTTGCGCAATTTTCACGGGCTACTCTCTCTTCTTCGTTGTCACAGCGGGTGAGATGCTAATCCAGTACTTGAGCTTGTGGATGAGCTTGTTTTCTTTCGCCAGCTACATGGTTCAAGTTTGCGACCTGGACTTTCCGCTCGCTGACTCTGGCACTGATGCACCACAGGAAGCTTGTAGTGCGGACGTAGTCGTGGTTACGGCAGTAGAGGTTATCGCAACAAACGAGTTCCTAGACTTGGACATCAACGAGGACAGCGTTGCAATTTAGCCACAGCGGAGTTGCACCTGGTTTTCGAGTCCACCAACAGATGGACTCAGGCCACTCTCCTCGCTTCTCTGACGAGAGATCAACACGGAAGAGGATTTTTCTGCAATGCCAAATGGGCTTGCACGCCATGGGTACGGTTCTCAAAGTTGCGGTGTCCTTGTTGGGTCTTGTTGAGGAGTAGAGTAGCGTATAGTGCAGTATAATACAGTAATTAGTAGATTGCTGTAGGGAATATGCACGTGGGCTTCTTCCAATTTCTTTGAGAACAGTGGTCCTAGGTGAGGTTTGGAGAAGCTGGTCTCCAGCATGAGTTCAGCAACGCTGGGCGCCAAAGGGGCGCAGACTCTGCAAACAACCTGTGAAATGCTGATTCCGCAAAGGCTGGCGAGTAAATCCCTGAGATGTAAGGATCTCCTTTCCATCGAGCCGCCTTGACATCAGCTAAAGTTCTATTATGACCTCAAAACTTGCACTATAACAAGTACTATAGAGATACCATAATTTGTGTTGGAATTTACATATTCAGTAGCGCATCTGGCATGAGCTGAAGGAGTCATGCTATCTGACTCTGGCACGGACACACCGCAAGAACCTGATAGCGCGGACGTAGTCGTGGCTACAGCAGTATAGAGGTTATCGCAGCGAACGAGTTCCCAGACTTGGACATCAACGAGGACAGCGTTGCAATTTAGCCACAGCGGAGTTGCACCTGGTTTGCGAGTCCACCAACAGATGGACTCAGGCCACTCTCCTCGCTTCTCTGACGAGAGATCAACACGGAAGAGGATTTTTCTGCAATGCCAAATGGGCTTGCACGCCATGGGTACGGTTCTCAAAGTTGCGGTGTCCTTGTTGGGTCTTGTTGAGGAGTAGAGTAGAGTATAGTGCAGTATAATACAGTAGTAGATTGCTGTAAGGAATATGCACGTGGGCCTCCTTCCAATTTCTTTGAGAACAGTGGTCCTAGGTGAGGTTTGGAGAAGCTGGTCTCCAGCATGAGTTCAGCAACGCTGGGCGCCAAAGGCACGCAGACTTTGCAAACAACCTGTGAAATGCTGATTCCGCAAAGGCTGGCGAGTAAATCCCTGAGCGGTAAGGATCTCCTTTCCATCGAGCACTCTGGACATCAGCTTTATATATATGTATAATATATATATATATATATATATATAGTACTAATTTATTTTTTATACTAGCACTATGGTACCATAATAGTCTAATTATATATATATATATACATATATATTGAATAACTCCTGGTATGCTTAAAACAAGTTTTGGGGATCTAGGGCCAAACCCACACATACATGGTGCACGGACTGGGGCACGGCCTGGTGCAGCTGTTGGGTTCTGATGCATATTGAGGGTAATCTGCTGCACGGCCTGGGGTTTGGGGTCGGTGTGGGGGTTGGTGCGGAACTGGTTCGCGCCGCACCCCACCACGTCCCGTGCAGGGCAGAGGGCAAAAACCCGACCTTGGCGGTGCTCTGCTTCCCCCGCCCCACCCCCTGCCCCGCCCACGCCCCCACCCCAAACCCCAGTCAGAACGCGTCGGAACCCGTCGGAACCCGTCGGAACCTGTCGGAAACACCTGTCCCAGCCCGTTCGCAGCCTAATTAAGCATACTGAGAGGCACGTTTATTGGGTTGTGAGGGGTTCCGACGGGTTCCCGACGGGTTCCGACGGGTTCCGACGGTTTCCGACGGGTTCCGACGGGTTCCGACGGCACGGGCCAGGTGGGACAGGGTGGGGGCGGGGGTGGGCACGCACCGTGACCGGGGTACAGGTGGGGTGGGGCGAGTAAGGGGAGGCGGGGTGTGGGGTGGGGCGTGGTGGGCGGCGGAGCCCGGCAGGACCACACACCCGCACCGGCTCCCGCACCAACCCCCGCACCAACCCCTGCACCCACAACCCTGGGTGTTTTAAGCATACCAGGCCCCTTGCAACATATATATATATATATATATAGTGTCATGACTAGCGAATAGTGTGTGTTGAAGTAACATATTCATTATAGTATCTGGCATGAGCTGATGGAGTCTTGCTATGAGCTTCTGTGTTGCGTGATAATATCTCTCTGCAGAGCTGGTTTATTGCCTACGCGCAAGGCATTTTGTGCAAACTTTCTGTAACTCTTCCATGATCTTGAACCCTAAGCCCTAAACCTTGAGTCTACGGAAACCTCACAACAGCCGCTGCGCCAAAGATTCGGGGCTTTATGGGGATGACATGTACAGTTCCCATCTTGAACTTGCACTTAATGCAGAACATCTTATGGGATGCTGTCTTGAAACAGCTCTTTTAGGGTGTGTATATACATACGGATTATCATCGTACTTTCATACTGAAAGTCAATAAGTACTTCACCAGTATTTTAATGAAAGTAGTAGTGTCGTGATATATCAGTCTCAAAAAACATGTAGACTGTGCTGAGCAAAGGGTGGGTTTGGGTTTGGTTGCCTCCCAGATACCAGTTGGTGCTGCCAGATGACTCGCAAGAACGCGCACACAAAGAGAGCAAGCTGAAGACGTAGATTGTCTCAAACACCTGTATAAAAATTTGGCCAAGCGACAACAAGAACCTGATCTTTCCTAGAGGCCTTGTCCAAGGAAATAGCAACCTTTATATTTACCTTATATACATATATATATATATACATATATATATATATATGCATTTAGTTAGCACTGGAGACTGGAGGCCCCCAAAACGCGGACAAACTCCTGAATCCTAATCAAACCTGAACCTCGTCCGGCTGGTCTTTTTGTGAGTGCTGAAACCTTCAAAAAATTTCTGGCAACGCGGGAGGCAAAACAAGCTTAAACCCACTAATCCTAAACTTCCAAACCCTAAAGCCATACAGCCCTAAGCCCCTAGGGCCCTAAACCCTAAACCAGCCTAAGCCCCTGAAGCCCCAAACTCCTAAAGCCCTGTGGATTGTCCAAAGCCCTAAAGCCCCAAAGCCCTAAGCCCCGAGCTTGGGCGTGAATTCCCCAGGTAGATCCCAGGAGATGCTGGTCGAGGAGATGGAGAACGAGGCCGGCCCTGCGAAGGACGGCTTCCTGTAAGGGCTCCTTTAAAAGGGCTGCTTTAAGGGTTCCTTTTAAGGGCTTCCTTTTAGGGCGCCTTTTGAAAGTCTCCTTCTGAGGGAGGAGCCCTTCAAGGGGCTCTTTGAGGGGGCTTCTTGCAGGGCTGTGGGCATGATAGGGCTCCCTTTATGGATTTCGCTTTAGGGCCTGATTTGGGGCTCCTTTGGGTGTGTCTTTTAGAGGGTTTCCTGTATGGGTTTCCTTCAAGGGTTCGTTTAAGGGGTTCAGGAGTAGAAAGGAGTTTATAAGGTTCTATAAGGTTCTATAGTGGCCAGAATAGTACTGTATGGAACCGTCGTAGATTTTAGAGTTTTTATCTCACTGCAGAGACACTTAAGCCTTAAGCCTCAAGCCTTGTATCGGCATTGTAGGACAAACGAGTCTTAATGTACCCAAAGGACCCAAAGTACCTATATAGTAGAATGTAGGGTTTTCTCTATTAGGAAATACTATTATGATTTGGGGAAGTATCCCCCATAACAGTACCTACCTAGACCCCAAAGTAGGTAAAAAAATAATGGCCCAAAGCCTATAAAAGCCGATTATTCTACATACTTCTGGGGCCCAGGTAGGACCCTAAACCCTAAACCCTAATCCCTAAACCCTAAACCCTAAACCCTAAACCCTAAACCCTAAACCCTAAACCCCTAAACCCTAAACCCTAAACCCTAAACCCTAAACCCTAAACCCTAAAAGGACCCTTTGGGATACGAACCCCTCGCAAAGGGATCCCCCGATTTCTGTTGGAACCTTGCAAGTCCACCGTCTCTGAGTTCTTTGTCAAAGTTGGGTGACATTTTAAGGGATCTTTAGGGTTCTTTTAAAGGGATCTATAGGATTCCTTAAACGGGATTTATAGGGTTGGGTATCATTTTACAGTCTTATGGGTACTTAAACCCAATAAGGAATGAACGTGTAAATGTTTAATCCTATCCTCACCATAAACTAGAGTTGAGGACGCGGACGAAATCGACTTCTCAGACTCTGATTCTGCAGCTTGCATGGTTTAGGATTTCGGGTTTTGCGCTGCTTGCACGAGCACCATGCAGAAGTGTAAGGTGAACGTTGACCTTCGAGGTAGTGCAACCGCGCCAGAAGCCGGAGATTTAGGTTCAAGGTTTCGGGTTGGGGGTTTATGCAAAAGGGTTTCGAGCAAGTTTCGCTGTGTTCCACTCAGGACACGGACGTCGAGGCACTGCTGGAAAAAGGTGGCCTGAAAGCTGCGTGGTTTCACGTATACCTAGAGGCTCCAAGTGCGAGTAGTTCCTTTTGGGGGTTCATATTTAGAATCCTGTAAGGTATTCCTAAAAAAGGAACTACCGTGGAGCCCATGGGTAGGCTTTTTGGGTTTTGGGGTTCAGGGTTTCGGGTTGGACAAGGTACTTTGGGTTTAGGGTTTGTGTGGAGTTCAGAGCCATATCTGTGGATCCAAAATCCAATCGTCTAACCTACTCTTGTAGTTCTTTGTAGCCTATGGCCACGTGGCCATTGCCATAACCTGCTATTCTGCCGTGTTTGGGTCTTGGGTTTACAGGATTGCAGGTGTAGAGCAGCTGAGCGCAGGATGTAGCAGACTATTATAACAGTCCACGGCTTAGGTCTTGTTCGAAGGGTTATGTGATTTTTTCGAGAGTAAGGCTTTGGTGGTAGGGTCGTGCATAAACCCTAAACCCTAAACCCTAAACCCTAAACCGTTCGTGCATACAGTGCCATGTTCAAGATTTTACACAACAGACATCGTTGGCAAACTCGAAGCTAAGGCCGCAGCCCGTTAAGCTCCCAGACCTTCCAAAACCCCTTAATTAAGGAATATACCTTAAATTATAGTAGGGCCCCTAATATGATTTAAGGTATATTCAAGTATATTCCTTAATTAAGGGGTTTTGGAAGGTCTGGGCGACAGGATAGCCCGATTATCCGCAAGTCAGCAAACAATACCCCCCAAGCCAGGAGGGGAAGGGGTTTGCTTTGGATAAGGCAAATCCTACCGCACAGGGTCCATGTTGAGTCCGCAATTCATGGAAGCTCCCCTGTAAGTACGGCTTTATTTAATCACTTAGTCAATATGCCTCCAACCCTTGAGGCTTTTGAAGTCTCTAGGGCCCCGCTTCAGCGGTTTAGATAATTACCAATAGTAGTGATAAGGAATCCTCCTTACACTGATAAATACTAGAAAGGCCTATTCTCATTCGTAAGGCGCTTGACATTACGTACCCCACTTATAAGCCTTCAACTTCAAGTTTAAATCCAAGGATAAATACAGAAATAAAGAATACACAAATATGTATCTGTAACTTTAAATCCAAGGATTGGGACCCCAGCTCCGCGGCGCCGATCCTGGCTGCACCGCCCCGGCCCCCTCAGCCAGAGACTCCTCCGGAAGCCTTTTCGGAGACAGAAGCGGCTTAGGGGGTTTAGGGTTCAGGGTTTAGAGGAGCAGTTTCTGGATCCTTGGCAACAGGTCGGAGGGTCAGTCCTGGCAGCCAGCAAGCCCGGGTTCAAAAAAGGGCCCCTCTAAAGAAATCCTATAAGGGATCCCATAAAGGATCTATAAGGGTTTAGGATTCAGGATACAGGGTGAGTGTTAAGCATAATCTCCAAAGTCGCTCCTCATGTGGGTATCCATGATGTCGTATGATAGTTCTCCAACAAATTCAGCCATAAGGCCTATAAGGCTACTAAAGATAACTGCAGTCAGAGTTTCGGACCTTTCGGACCTAGAACTCATAGAACCTACGTACTTCATGTGCTATCTTTCGTTGTCGGCAGGAGACAGCTGCGGAAAGAACGGCCGGCACAGACGGTGTCGCGGCCCAAAAGCCGTAAACTGTAAGCCCTCAGAGCCTTAGGGGTTGGGGTCTGAAGAGAGGTCAGGTAGCCTTCCTTAGGTGTTTTGAATTCTTCAAGGGTTCATGGTTTAGACCTTAAGGTTTAAGGGTTAATTAATTACATCACGCCCAGCAGAAGGGATTGAATAAGGGTTCCCTACCTTGCAAGTGAAATAGAAGTCTAGTTGTTCGGGCCCCTGTCGTGTGGATGTGTTGCTTGATAGTAGTCTACCATAACCTACTTTCCTGTAGGGGCGTAAGCTCATCAAATATGCATTGCAAAGACAGGCCCTACCCAAAAAAGCGGGTCATGGCAAATTAAAGTTATTCCGGCTTGGGGCATCCGGTAAGTGGAGAATCCTCGGCCTTGAGCAAACAAATCAGAGACTTCTGAGGGTTTGGGATTTGGGATTTAGGGTTTAGTGTTTTTGAAAAGAGGTTGTTTCTTGAGCAAGGTATGGAAGTGCAGTCAGGAGTGCTGACCTTCCGTCCATGTTCTTCAGGCGATTGCACAAGTCCTGATGCAAAAAGGGTTTTTGAAAACTGCACAAATAATTAATCAGGCTATTCCTTCATGACCGCTTCCGTCAGCATGCAGGGCTTCGGGCAGTCACCGGCCAAAGTCAAGCCATACCGGCCACCTCCTTGGTGAGCGTGTAGGAAGCTTGATGCCCTCGCCCGACATGCGTTGCCTCAGAGATTGGACACTCAACCCCAAACCGTAGCCCCTAAACTCTCAAGCGCTAAGCCCCCAAACCCTAGACCCTAAACCCCGAGAATTCGTGTGGCTTGACCGAGTTGCGAGAGCGTAAGGACCCCCATAGCCCTTAAACTCCCAAGCTCTAAACCCCAAAGTGTTGAGCTTGCAGCGTTCAGCTCTTGTGCAAACGCAGAACCTCTTTTCAGACCTCGCCTGGTATTGCCGAGGGAGCGTCACAACAGCCCCCGAACCCTAAACCCTAAACCCTAAACCCCAAACCCTAAACCTGCATGCCTGAATTTTCCGCTTGGAAGCCTCTTAGTTCCAGGAGCATCAGCACTGAATTAGCACGTCATCCCCACTGACTTAAAATGGATCCGCCAGGTGTCAAGCTGTAGATATATAAGTTATATAACTGTATCTGTATCCCTAAGGGTCCATGTGCCCATATAGAGATAGATGGGCCCCGAATACCTATATAGGGACTACATTAAGGCCAATGTATCTAGTATATGAGTACATGGACCCTTAGGGTATATTTGTTTATTACTTCTTGGCCACTTGCACCAGCCCAGGCTACATGCCCGCACCGCGCCTCCCGGCGAGCAAACCGGAGCCACGAACTCCGGACCTGGCTTGGCATCCACAAAAAGCCCTGGGCGGTTTAGGGACCCAATAAGGGATCCTTCAAACGATCTATAGGGACTCTAGGTTACAGCCTTGTCCTTTTTCATGGTACCCCCAAAAGAGTAAACAGACCGGCTAGTAGACCTTCTTAGATAATTCCTGCTAAGGGATATAGGTATAGGGCTCTGTCCATTATTTCTAAAAGGACTTGAGCGCTAGGTTAAGGGCTAAACGATTTAGGGTTTAGGGTTTATAGTTTCAGGGTTTAGGAGTTTAGGGTTTGTAGGTTCAGGGTTCATGGGTGTAGGAGTCATAGGTTGCTGGGATTTAGGGTTTGTAGGTTTAGGGTTTCTAGATTGGGGGTTTAGGGTTTTTCGAAGGAGCGTTTCTGGCTTTTGGGTGGTTGCCGATTCCGAGTTGGGCATGTGGAGTGAAAACCGTGCTTTTAGGCACTCCATCGGCGAGAGGAATATCAAAGCAGCCTCTCAATCTCTCCGAGTATGATTTTTTAGCCCACCTAAACCTTTAACCAAAACCCTAAGCAAAAGCCGTCAAAATCTCAACACTAAAACCGCCGATGCCTTCGTATGCCTTTGCCATTGTGGCTCATTTTGTTCGGGGCCGTGGGCTACCAGCTGGGCACAACGTTTGCCCGTTTTAGCCAGGCCGGGAGATAAGGGAGGGGTGTTTGTTTGGGGGCTCCAGGGGTTTAGGCTTTGATATAGGGGCCAAAATAATTACCAAGAGTAGATTGGGGGTTCCTGATTACAAGTATAGTATAATGAGCCCCCAAACCCTATTCAAATTATTAAGGCTCCTACATTAGGGGTTCAGGGCTCATAGGGGTGAGGGCTTCGGGTTTGATAAGGGTTGAGTCAAACAGACGCAGAATGGTTAATGATCCCCGGTATATAACAAACCCCTATAGCCTAAACCCTAAATCCTAAGCCCCTAAGCCCTAAACCCTAGACCCTAAACCCCTATAGCCTAAGCCCTAAACCTTAAATCAGACAGCCTCAGGTTTGGAAAGGAACCAGGGGGCTGAATATCGAAGCCTTACGAACCACCAACATCATCCTGGAAGGCTCCTTCTTGTATTTACAGCATATCTTGGCGTTCTTCTGCTTGGCTCTTAGGACTTTAATTTCTGGGTTTTCTGTATTAACTATCACAAGGAGGCTGAAAGTTTAACTTTTAGGATATTATACCCCAAAATCTTGTTGGGTTTAGGGATGATTAGGGCGTACTATATGTATAGTGTTTCTATCCCAAAAACTTTCTTCTAATTTTAAGGTCCCTACATTCAACCGCTAACCCTCATAGGACCCTTTTTCAGAACCCTTTGAAGGACCCCTGTGTTAATTATTAGGGCATTACCCAAAAGCCTAAACCCTACAAACCCTACACACCCTAAACCCTATAAACCCCATAAACCCCATAAACCCTAAACCCTACAAACCCTCTACAAACCCTAAACCCTATAAACCCTAAACCCTAAACCCTAGTGGATCCTCGGGCTTGGGTTGGAACTCAGGTTCAGGGCTTCAAGTTTTACAGCGCCTTGACGTTCGAAGTGAGAAACTCCCCAAGGGGCCCGAGGTACTGACAAAAGGGATCCTGGGGTTCAGGGCTCTCTTATAAGGGATCTACGGGGCCCTCTATGGGGCATGAGGGATACTTTCCCAAAGCATAATACATGTTCCTAATATGTGAAGCCCTACATTGGTATTTAGGACCGTTTGGAACTGTGGGGCGACGACAAGGTCCTCAAACTTCGAAGCGAGCATGACGGACTTTTGTTCTGTTGGGTTGGCTGGTGTTTAGGGAGTACCTGAACCCTGTAAGACCTACGTTTTCTGGGTTCCGAAATAAATCACGGTGTCCTTATAGTTTAAAGGTAGGTTATGTCGGGTGAGGTGGGGCTTACTGTGGCTTTCGGGCCGAGTGGGCTGGTGTGGTCTGTAGGGTTTGGGGCTTTAGTTTTAGGGTTTAGGGTGTAAAGAGCGAGCGACAGAGAGAGAGAGAGCGAGAGAGAGAGAGAGAGAGAGAGAGAGAGAGATCGAGATCGAGCGAGCGAGCGAGCGAGCGAGAGAGAGAGAGAGAGGAGAGAGAGAGAGAGGGTGTAAACGAGGCCGATGTTTAGTTTTCAGTTTGGGTCTGCACTGTCCTTGAGTCTTGTGAGTTTTATGCGTCACATGTGACCTGAAAAACTGAGCTCAGTACATATGGGGTTTCCGAACATAGGGGGCCCTAATATAGGATCCTTTGTATAAGGATCCCAAAATACGTACCTAATCATCGGAAACTCCTCATACCAGGCAGGAGTTCCCAAACCCTTATCCAGCACGCTGAACCTTGAACCCTGACTTCGACATCGTGAACTTGCTATCGTTTCTCGACTTTCGTCAGATATCCTTGGTCCGCCCCGGGAGCGCGACCGAGAGAGGAGTGGAAGCGATCATGCTGGCTTAGGGCCTTGGGTTTAGTGTTTAGACAAGTCGCAGAGCAGTCGCGCGATTTTTTTCCCTGCCGCTTCTGGCACATCAGAGATCAGATCAATTATCCAGATGTACGACGGCATGCCAGCCTGTGCAAAACGACCAACCTCCACGACATCACATATGAAGCTCTAAACCCTGCATGGGCCCTAAACCCTGCAAATCTGTTCACCGGATCTGCTACAACCCTGAACCTGAATCGCTGCATTCTGAAGCAGTTGCTGAGGTTTTTTCAAAGGAATTAAGGGGTTTCGGGTTTTATGATTTGGGCTCGCGTGGTTCTTGGGGTTTAGCGGCTTCGGGTTTAGAGTATTCACGACAACACCTTGAATCTCGATTTGCATTGGCTCCTCAATAAGAGCCCCTGCCACGGTTTAGGGCTTATCGGGTTTAACCCTAATACAGTAGAAGCCAGAAAGTTGGAATATCATTATCGTAACCCCTTTAAGGTAAATTATAGGGGATCCTACAATTAATCCATATTCCAACTTTCTGGAGTTCCCTTTAAACCCTAAACCGTTTAAGGTTTAGGGTTCAGGGCGACCTTCAGTCCAGTGGCAAAAAAAGGGCGACCTTCAGAGCCCAGCTTGCGGCATACAACCAAAGCCCGTGCTGAATAAAAAGGGTTCAGGGTCCCAGACCTTCCAAAATCCCTTAATTATGGAATATACCTTAAATCATATTAGGGACCCTATTATAGTTTAAGGTATATTCCTTAATTAAGGGATTTTGGAAGGTCTGGGGTTTAGGGAGCACAGACAGGAGGAAGCGTCGTGACAAGCCGGAATCGAACTGCCCGGGAGCCTGGGCAGAGTTGTTGCAGAAGAAGACATTGAGATCATATAAGGGGGCCTTAAGAATTAGAACAGGGCCTCGGTTGGAGTTTCTGGAAGAAGCATAAGGGCACTATAGGAGGGGTTTTGCCCCCCAAAAAAACCAACAACATGACATTGGTTGCTTTTAAGGGCTTTGGAATAAGGGCATTATAACAAGGGTTCAGGGGTTTAGGGTTTACAGGGGCCTTGATTAGGCCTTGATGGTTAGAGAGCAGGGTTGGGGGCTATGATGCGTAAGAGGTGGATTAGGGAGTACACAGGGTGTGGTCTTGCTATTTCCGGCCACTACTGCATTGAAAGATTCCTGAGCGAGGGTTCCCAAAAGGGGGGGGGGCTCCTGCACGCTATTCAGGCTTTCAAAACCGAGAGGGAGGAAGGTTCGGCGGCAGATGCGAAACAACACGGGAAGAACAACCGTCCTGGCCTCGCATAATTCCATTTTAAGGGCTCATGTGCTTATTTTATAGTCATGGTATATACTATGAAGTGGCCCTTCTGTGGGTTCTTTCTGGGTCAGCGCATTTACTATATTGGGTTGGTTCAGCGTTCAGGTCGAATTCGTTGGAACCGAGCCTTTAACAATTACAACTGAGTCTTTAATTTGGGCTTCCATTTCTTGTTTCAGACCTATGATGTGTGACTGATTGCGCAGAATTGACACCCACGAGTCAGTGATAGCACGCCGTGCTTTCAAGAAGCTGACACCCACGACTCAGTGGTACCACAAGATGCTAGGGCCTTTAACATAAAGCCTTTGATGTGTGCTTGCGCAGAAGCTGACACCCACGAGTCAGTGATAGCACGCCGTGCTTTCAAGAAGCTGACACCCACGACTCGGTGATATCACAAGATGCTAGTGCCTTTAACATAAAGCCTTTGATGTGTGCTTGCGCAGAAGCTGACACCCACGAGCACCGCTGTGACGTCTGTTGCTTCATGTTTGACTATGACTGCACGAGCTGAAAGCAATAACACTAAGAACAGCAGGAGGTTCGGCTACCTTTAGGCATCCAAGTCTGTTTAAACTTTGGGCTCTCCATTTGGGGGTGCATCTTTAACTTTGGGCTACCTGCTACCTTTCGGTTTTAATCGAGGCTGTATGTATATATATGTATATGTGTGTTATGTGTATGAATATATATATATATATATACATGTGTATGTGCATATATATATATATATACTTATATATCTATATATGTGTGTGTATACTGGTATGTATGAACCTACATGAAATGTGTGAAAAAGAAAACACTGGAAATCATCATTCTATGTGATCTCCGATCCCAATCCTGGAGCTCCCCATTCTCTTTCATCCAGCACGGCAGAAGCGGTGCGCCGGGTTGCACTGAGAGTCAGTTCGAATGAGCACCGAAAAGTAGCTTGTTTGGCACTGCAGGTTACCTAGCATGACTCACAATCACGGCCCCGGCTCATTCTTTGCAAAAGTTGGGTCGAGAGATCCTGCAAAAAATCAATCCCTGGATCACATCAAAATCGCACCGGCTGCGCGGGGTTGGGTCGAGGTTTAAGGAGCATTTCCCTCGGTCCCTTTAAGATTAGCATCCAGAAATATGTCCCTCAGCCGCAGTGCTTGCGATCCTCAGGCTTAAAGACTTTTCGATTGCCTCACAGAAGGCGCACGGCTTGGCCTTTTTCCAAAACCAGCTTCTTCTTCAGGAAGTAGAGAGGCTTCTTTGGCGAAACCTCCTGCCAGGATCAACAACAAAGCTTAATTTCAAACTAGGAGACTGATTGAAAACATAACACCCAAAGCTTAAAAACCTAAAACTAACTAAAACCTTTTCCCACGACTTCGGCAACACACTCTCAAATCGGACCCGAATCTTCTTGGTTATTATCCTGAGAGCGACAACAAAGGTCCTTAGAATGAAATCGCCCAATTGAACCTTATAGCCTTTCCACAACCGAATTCCTAAAGTTCCACCAAAAAGGATAGGGTGTGGCAGCTTGTCGTGAGAACTAGGAACTAGCTTATACAGCCTAACTTATTATGAGCTAGGTAACACTCCGCGAGCGTGTGTGTGATTAGATTGTCGAGAAACCGCATGTCAGTTATTATGTGCAAACGGGCACAACATGACGCACAATCCGCTTAAAGCCATCCGTGTGCCGCCCCCCCTCAGTAGAATGATTGCGCGTGACATGCCGCTCATGTTGCAACCGCAAACGTCGTCCTTTGAATTTGTCTTTACGATCAGATCGCGACAAGCGTGTATTGCAACATGTCGATCAATGCCTTTGGCCGGGTAGCCGCAGTTGCAGGGCACCGTCTTGCGTAAGATAAGACAGCAGTCCGTCGTCCTTCTTCAGATTGTGGAACCAGCATTGCAACCCCAGTGCGGACATGAAAAGCAGCAAATGATGGATAGTTTCAGACACTTGCCGACAGCACTATCCCATTGTGCCAGCAAGAATTCGTTTCGTAAACATCACAATCATCTAAAAGAGTGGAGCAAGCAGCGCTCGGAAATTCAATCCCCGGTCTTGGCCACTTCTAAACGTTAATGATGGTTCGTGTGCGAAATGCAGCTCACACCCGAAAGACGACAACTAGGAGTTCAATCCCCGGGAAGCAAGCTTAAAGTGCCTATGCCCTTTATCTTAAAACCCGAGGCTCAAAGCTTAAAGCGATGTGCCCTTTATCTTAAAACCCGAGGCTCAAAGCTTAAAGCCCTATGCCTCAATATTAAAAAGCAACCCAAATCTTAATTTGGTGAAGGCCAATGCCTCAGCAAAGATCCAGGATTCTAAGTCCTAAACTAAACTGACACATAAGCCGAAACAAGCGTTAAAGCTTTAAACTAATCCAACTCTTGAAAGCTTGAAGTCTTAAACTGAAGACACCAGAAAGCCCTTGAGGCAAAAAACCCTCAGAAACCTTTAAAACATGCACTGAAGTCTCTCTAGAATTGAGCCCTAAATCCACTAACTTGCAACCTCCCCCCACCCCCCCCGCCAAGCTAAAAACCCTAGAACCCAGGCCCCCGAAACCCTAACCTTCCGGCTCAACATCAAAAGAAAAGCAGCAGCAGTCTGCACACCCTCCAGCACATATTTCTCTAGAATTGAGCCCTAAATCCACTAACTTGCAACCTCCCCCCACCCCCCCCGCCAAGCTAAAAACCCTAAAACCCAGGCCCCCGAAACCCTAACCTTCCGGCTCAACATCAAAAGAAAAGCAGCAGCAGTCTGCACACCCTCCAGCACATATTTCTCTAGAATTGAGCCCTAAATCCACTAACTTGCAACCTCCCCCCACCCCCCCCGCCAAGCTAAAAACCCTAAAACCCAGGCCCCCGAAACCCTAACCTTCCGGCTCAACATCAAAAGAAAAGCAGCAGCAGTCTGCACACCCTCCAGCACATATTTCTCTAGAATTGAGCCCTAAATCCACTAACTTGCAACCTCCCCCCACCCCCCCCGCCAAGCTAAAAACCCTAAAACCCAGGCCCCCGAAACCCTAACCTTCCGGCTCAACATCAAAAGAAAAGCAGCAGCAGTCTGTCCTGATCGTCCTGCGAATAGCACACCCTCCAGCACATATGAAGGATCTTGTTGCACATGAGCTCGCGGTTATTGAAGAAGCTGGCGAGGCTGGTGAACTTGACACCACCCTGATCGATGGTCTTCTGGGGAATGGCTGAATACTTGAAGACAAGGGGGCTCTGCTCGTCCGGGGTGATCTCGAAGAAATCAACATCGCCGCCACTTCCTGTGTAATTTGACATCGGCCCACAACACATTGAACAGGAAGAGTTTTAATACTACAGCTCGAGAAACTTTGTGCACCCCCTATAGCCCCGCCTTCCGGGCGGACACAGTCGTGTCCATTCAGTGTCGTCTCGACCATTCCATTCGATTCAAACTCTGCCAAGAGGGAGCGGATGGTGCTGGGGCTCGTATCTTTCAAGCGTCGCGAGCCTTCCTTAGATCACACAGCCAATCAAAGCCCAGCCGTAGATCCCCTAAAGCCCCTTAAGAGCGGAAATGTGACCTCGGCGACTTCGAGCACGACGATTTGCTGATCATTCTCCCACCGGCAAGGAATCGCCTGGGAATCCTTGAGGACTCCTGGCGTCAGGGGCTCGTTTTGGGCTTCAATGGACAAGTAGGGCACAGGATTTATGTCGAGTGCTTGTGCAACTGCGTGACCATCTTTCTCGCAGGCGGCATCGCTTGTTAATCGCTCTAAAGCACCTATGCCAGGCTTTGCCCCCAAATTGTGCATCGACACGGAGCAGTCTATCCCGGCTACTCAAGAGCTCTATCTGAAGATAAACAAAATCCATCATTTCCGTCTTCGAATGATGGAACGGTGTTCCCCAAAGCCCCACAGCATGATTTCAGATCCAGCAAGATGATGGCTTGAATCGTGATTCTGACTAAGTTCTGGAGCAGCAGAGGGCTACTAATTGGCCACGGTATCAACATCGACTTGCTGAATCCAACACCCATCAGGACTCAGTCCCACCGGCGGCGCTTCAGCTCCATGCTGGTCAAGCCTTCGGCTGCTGCTTTGCGTGCAGGCTGGGTCTTCCACCTGGGCCACAAACGAGTAGCCTCATGGGCTATAGTAGATTTTAACTGAATTCTCAGGAACGATCAGCAATCCGTGGAGTATATTGAAGGCTTGGCTTAAGAATACTGATGGCCTGGTGAGGCACTTCGAGCGGCTTCGGTATGCTAGCTTAGTTCGATGATAAAGTCACAGGATCCTATATGCCATAAGGTATGTTAAAGGTTTTCTGGTTGCAGAAGAATAGGGCTGTTGGGGTCTGAATGGTGCTTCGAGCCGTAAGCTAGCTTCAGGTGGTTAGGCGAGGCGGGGTGAGGAAGCTCGAGATAGGGAGATACGTCTGGTACAACATTCTAATGACTAGACTATGTCGTTAGGTAATTAGGTAGGTAAATAGGATTTCCCTAGCACTATCCAGGCCTTAGGACGAAAACGAACCGAGCCGAGCAAACCCATTAGGGCCTGCAACCCGTATTTGCAATTTCCCTGAACACCAGGACCCCACAGATAATCCAAGCATTTTAATATTAGAATTAGAAAACGAACCCTCCAGTCAACATACCCGAAAACACGGGTCGATGCTCAACCCTACACACTAAACACTGCACCCTGGCCCTACCTACTCCGGAACCCTAAATTTATCTTAAAACCCCAAACACTCACCCCTGACTCTTGCCCGGCAAACTCTGAAGCCCAAACTCCGGAAACCGTAAACACCCTGCATCCCTAAACCCTTGCAACCTGAAACCCTTATTCCTTTAAACCTTAAACCTAGGGAATTAGTTGGGAAAGCTCATCTTTGGATTGAGAAACCACCAGAGTCTGGACCCTGAGCCCTTGGATATATGATAACCATCTATCATGTAATGAGATCCTCATGACTCACAGACTGGGTTTCATTGTTGCAATGTAGAGGGCTGCGGCTTCCTAATTGGGGCTAGAAGTAGCACTTCTACCCATATGGTGTCTTCAAGCTTTAATTTCATCCAGGAGTCATAATGATAAAGATGAAAGAGGATGGTAATGTCTAGGGTTCAGGTAGGGCTTTGAGCCGTAGACTATGTTCAAGGTTTCACTTATTATTCTGCTCGGAATCAAAGAAAGCCGGGGCACAGCACAGAGATGTCCTTCAAAAGCTCTTTGTAAGGCTTGGTGCCCTTCAACTCCTTCATCTTGTCGTCGCGGAACTTAAGCCACTCCTTTGCTAGGAAGCTCTCCATGCAAGGTTTCTTGTTCTTCTTCTCGGCCTTCTCCACCGGGTCTTGCTTGCTTTTGCTTTTATTGTTCTTCGTCTTCACATTCTCCTTGGTCGATCCCTCGGAACCTGTGCTCTTGCGCTTCGGCTGGGCTTTACCACGAGCCTTGGGCTTCACGTCCTTCGTGGTCTTGGGCTGCTTCTTCTTGCGGGTCGGCTTGCCGGAGCGTGCCTCCTCAAGCCGATTCTCCTTGTTGATGTCCTCGTCGCTGTCGACCTGCTCATAGCTCACGGGGCTCTCAACGTCAGACTCTTTCTCCTCAGGAGATCCTAGATCCTCCTCCGGTTCCGGCTCCTTGGCCTTCTTCTTTCCACGGCCCTTCTTGGCGGCCGACTTCTGAGCCGGGCTCAGCTTCAAGCTGCTGACAGCAGCTGCCAACCCCAGCACATCAGATGAGCTGGCCTTCTTCAGCAAAGCCTGCTTGGCCTGCTGCCCAATGGGGCCGGGCTTGCTTGCCGTGTTAGCCTGGCAAGACCAATGTCGGGTGAGATTAAAGGAAATAAAAGAATAATAAGAGATTGAGGTTTAGGGGTTCCAAGCCAATAACTGATTGTGTCATTATTGCTGTCCTTTCCCAGAAAGGTTTGAGGCGGGTGCCCGATTCTTATTCGACAAAACTGACAGCATCATCCCGAGTGGTTTCTGTAGAGTTTTTTAGGTTTAATTTTGGGTTAGTTGAGGGTTTGAGAGATAGTTGAAGGGTTAGGAAACCTATCTGCCATAATGGATTCTTCGTTCGTTCTGAAACCCTACAACCTGTATGATTCTATCTATCCCCGACTCATTGATTACATCATCCTGCCTTGATCTTGCCATCCTTGGTTTCACCATCACCAGCAGCTGCCTTGCCAGTCTTCTTCTCCGTTTTCACAAGCTCCCTGGCCTGCTCGATCTCACTCTTCATCATGTCGAGGTCACTCTTGCTGGGGCTGGCTTGGTCACCCAAGTTGGAGTCGGTAGACTTGGATCGGAACTGCAAGTTCGAGGGCCTGAAAGCATTGCCAAATCCAAACTTCTTGCCAGGCTCCGGCGCCTGGGGCCGAAGGGAACTTGGAGCAGGCGTCGAAGACGTATTCGTGGATGCAGTCTTGCTAGAGTCGGGGCTGTCGTTGCTTGCCTGTGAGCCAGAAGCATTCGTAGATTCGGAAGGGGGGCTAGCTTTCACGAAGGCCGGCGTGTGCTCCGGATCATCGAAAAGCTTGCGGCACGGCGTCGACAGAAGAGGCTGTTGCTCGGAGTGGGTCGTCTCCAAGAAGTCAAAGAGTTCAGCCATGGCTAAGCTTCTTGGGGAAGTAGCACGCACAGACAGGGCTGAGCTAACTTGTTGATTGGCCCTGGGCCACAAAACACACTGACATGAAACATTGCTTCGGATGCTCAGACAACATGTAGAAAGTGTATGCATGCTGCCAGCAACTGTGCACTCACGCAAAGCATCACTGAATTACAAAGGCGTTGTCTTTTGAAACAAAAAGCCTGGCCCATGTATCATAGGGTCAGTGGTTGTCCGGACTGTGGTCACTATCATCACTGTCCAAATAGCGAACGGATTCTCCAAGAACCAGGGTGGTGGCATCCGAACCCCGGCGGTGGATAGTCTTTGGGGATCGAGACCTGGATTTGCGCTCCTCCTTGACACGCAGAGCTGTGGCATCCTTCGTATCCTTACCCTCTGTCAGGTCATCAGCCGACTTGTCACCCGCGCTCCCGTCGCTTGGTTTCTGTGGCTGCTGGGGCATCTGCTTGGGACATGGTGGTGTGGCTGCCGACATAGCTTGAGAGTTCTAGACTGCTAACTTGTTAATCTTGATCCTAGTGCTAGAGCAGGTGTGCAACACTGCTGCAGACAACACTTCAATCCAGTTGCCACTCTGAAGATATGCAATCATGCTGCAGACAACGTTTCAAGGCAGCTGCTGCGGTCCTCCACTCTCGAGCAGCTTCTGCACCTTGCTGGCGTTCATGAACGTAGCTCTGTCATGTGCAATGAGAAAGTGGTCCGTGTCGATGGTGATGTTGTTTTCCAAAGACACCTGAATTGAATCACGACCCAACCTAGTAAGCCTAAACTATGTTCCAAAGCACTAAGTCACCAAGCCCTGTTCTATAATCTCAGTCACCCACCAGGAACAGCTTGTAAAGCTGCTCGGGCTCCACGTTATTGGCCGAGGTTGCATTCTTCTCTACTGCTTTGCACACACGCATCTGTGTAGAAGCCGACCTTCCCGGACAAGTGAGCACGATCTCGTAGCGGGCATCCAAGTCGGTTGCCGAGGTAGGCTCACCTGCCCACTCACTGACGCCGGCATCGGCTGTTGCGGCCTCGCTGCCGGCTGCTGCAGGCGGCTGTCGTGTCTCGGAAGGCACGTGAGCTCCGAACCTCAGCGGGATCAGGGGTTAGGTTCAGGGCTCCTAGCAGTCAGGATGACTTGATAGTGCAGGCTTTCTGGGTTCTACCGAAGCACCTTGTATCGAAGGATTTGATCTCCCGGGACCATTCATCTTGGCGTGTCGGATCCTCACTCCATTTGTTGCGAAACTCGGGGCTGATGGCCAAAGTTTTGCTGCCATCCTCGCAAGTAATCATCTGGCAAACATGGAGCGTTGGCGGCTGCACGTTGCCGCCATCCTCGGGGATCAGATCTGGATTGTAGGCCTCGACGTTGCCCATGGGATGGTTTCCTGACTTCCAGTCCTGCATGGCAACATAATTAGTAAGTCTTTGTGTTGGGCCAGTATTGAAACTTAGGATAGTCTACTTGGAGGGGCAAGGGACTTAGTAAGTGGTTTAGAAATGATAGGGAACTTATAACTCTGCTTATAACCTACTTGCTAAGTCCCCTGCCCCTCCAAGTAGGGTTTCAAGCTCTGAAGCTTCCAAGCTTTGGCTTTTGGGTCGTTGCTCGGTTTTGGGGTAATTTGGGAATCGATGGCTTCTTGGGGCACCAAGTGAATGTTCGCGGCATCAGAACAATCTGCGGCTTATCGGGGTTTGGGCGCGCTACGTCAAGGCCTCTACCTAGGATGTTGTATAGATTTAATTTCAGCCCGCCTGAGATGCTGTCTCAGTCTCAAACAACGATCGGCTGGCCTGGTGACAGTTTCAGACACCTGTGGATTTTTCCAGACACTTGCCACCTGATCTCATGCAACACATTGAAAGAGGCGACCCTCTCAGTCTCAAACAATGATCGGTTGGTGATAGTTTGAGACACTTGCCTGTTACTGTTGTGTTTAAAGGCACTTGCCGCCCGATTTCAAGCAACACATTGAAAGAGGCTATCCTCAAGGAGGCGTTGGCCAACAAGCCGCTGACAAAACGTCAGCTCGTCTGTGCGGGGGCTGCAACTGAACGATACCATCCTGCCACATTGTAAGGCTGCTGCATTGGGCCGGGGAACAAGGTATTTTGGTTTAGTGTCACCATTATGAGGGGCTTGTCTCTTGTAGTTTAGGAAGTACGGTTTGAGATGGAACTGCAATCAGTGTTTGAGGCACCTCGGCCCTCCATCAGCTCGGGAGCTCAAACACGCCCGTTCCAAGCACCCGTCGTAGGGCGTCAGGTTGATGATGCATATAGTCGAAGTCGGCTCGAACCCGGCATCCTGCATCGAACATCATGATATGAAGCGGCCTCAACTAACACCAGAGCCTACCAACAGTGTCACCGTAGCTATACTGCAGCCACTCCTCCAACAAGCTGTGCAGAACTTCACGGGGCATTCCGACACCTCCAAGGTATTGGGCTGCCATCTGCGCATCGCTGAGGCTCCTGGCAGAATTGGGACACTGGCCCCTCGTCTAGATTTGAGCTGCTGCAGACATCAGACATCTAATTTTGGGTATCCTGGTTCGGCTCTGGTTGTATTGTACATACAAGTTTCAGATGCCTTCAAGTTGAGGGGCTGCGGAATATGGTCCCCCTTTCATGATTTAGGGTTATGCTAAGTTAAGGCTTGATACGGTTACTGTCCAGGGTTCCCACTATTATATATAGCTTACTCAGGTCCATGAAGCCCATAATCCCAAACCACTAAACCCCAACCCTCTTGGCCCCCAAACCCTTATAATAAGCAGAATGATAAACGACAAACCCCTAAAGTTCTCGTGAAACGTCTTGTTAGGTTAGGGTTAAGGGTGTTGTCTAGGGATCAAGCAAGGGGTTGAAGCTTAAGTAATAATGAAATCTCTAGAGACAAGCTCGGTCCTTTCCATGTTCTCCGTAGTGCACGGAGTGGCGTTGCGTGGTCGGGGGACTTTGTATTCTCGAACGGGAAGCCATGTGATGTCCCTGGCCGTGCACCTGAAGTTTCTAAATATTTGTGTTAGAGAACGATATCAAGCTTTCTGCAGACTGGTCACTCTGTCACAAGCATCTTGCTGTTGGCAAAGACGTTCTTCGTGGCACCGTCGCTGCATGCGAAAAGTGCAGGGAAGAGCAGCGGGAGTCGTCGGTTGCCGTGACCATGGGAATCCATGCGTATCGAAAACCGAATGGACGTCAATGACTTGGCGTCCATTTTGTCTTCAATGCGCCTGGCAGGGTAGAAGAATACAGCTGGGAGATTAAATTATCGATCGGGCCCATTGACTACCCATAGCCCGGCCTCATCTCTCCTCTTTTTCCGGCAACTACCCTGGCACTTGTCATTGCAGGTACCAAGACCAGGCCACATGACTTGTTCGGATACGTAGCGCAGATTCTCCGAAGTTCTTCCGCTGCTTCATCCAGGGTGTCCTGCTGCAACGCCCCACATTTGGTGAAATCGCACCATACGATCACGCCCGCCGGCCCGATCTCTTTGATGAACTGGCACAGAGGCACAGGTAGCGAGGAAGGAACGTAGGCAAGAAGGTTTCTGGGTGTTGCATAGATTCCCCAGTCAAGTAGGGCCACAACATATTTTCTTAGGGACAAGTAGAGGAGGATGGTAAACCTTGCAAAGCCTTATTGCTGCAACCTGGGGCCCGGGGGTCTGCTAAGAGATGTAAGGTGTTATTATGATTGAGTGCAGCATCCGATCCCTAAACTGAACCCTAAACCCGATGGAAGCTTAAAGCCTGAACCTCCCGCCTCGATGATGTTCACATGCTGTTCTGCGTAGGAGGTGGCAGCATGCTTAGCATTTCTCTCCATCCAGTCCACGACCAGTTGGGACCCTCTGCGGTTCTCCGACTTCAGTCGCAAAACCTTTGCCAAAGCCTTCTGCCTTTCACCTGCCCCAATCCTCTGTTGGTAGTCCGAGAATAACGATTGATCCTCGCTCAACTTCAGCAGGTCCGCAGCAAATGCCTTCTGAACGCATTCCAAGTCCAACGCCTGAATTGCCGAGGATCCAGTGCCGCCGTGCTGGGAGCTTGCCTGGGAGGGCAGATGGTCCTGGCAGCACAAGGCGACTATCGAGTTTTAGCATCCTGCTTGCAGTTTGTGGTCGGTGGGTGTGTTGGCGCTGTTTGCAGCGATGGTGCTTTTGCCTGTAATGGTCCTTATCAAAGGTAAGCTCAAACACTGTTATACTTTGTTGTGGTGGGGATAGTGTTGGACTGCGGTTTTGTTGTTCAGGTGGCTTGTTGATCAGAAACACCATATGCCTGAAGCCTCGAATATGAAATACATGCAGTCCAGAGAAGAGGGTTTAGGGGTTTAGGGTTTAGGGGCTTAGGGGTTTAGGGGTTGAGGGGGTTAGGGTTTAGGGGTTTAGAGGTTTAGGGGTTCAGGGGTTTAGGAAGAACATATCTTGGGCAACCAGTCTTGGCCAAGAGAAGGCACTCTTTCCTTCTGGAAAGTCGTCATGTTGACAGGGGCTGAATTTTCAGAGCTCCTGCAATTCCGGGGCTTTTGCCCTGATTTAAATTTCATGGTTGCCGAAGCTAGGTTCTTCTTAAACCCCTAAACCCCTAAACCCTAAACCCCTAAACCCCTAAGCCCCTAAACCCTAAACCCCTAAACCCTCTTCTCTGGACTGCATGTATATCATTTCAACCCGGAATAGGAAGCCTTGCTGAGGCATGTGGGCTGATGCGGTGGCTGCTGTGGCGATGGGCTCCAGTGGAGCCAGGGCCATATGAATACTATGGGTCCCATGAATTCTTGAAGGGGTCAAGAGGGGTCACATGTATACTAACTTTTTGAAACGAAGGAAACATGAATGCTTTAAGTACTGCGAGAGAATCAGAGGGGTCACATGTATACTAACTTTTTGAAACGAAGGAAACATGAATGCTTTAAGTACTGCGAGAGAATCAGTGGGCTATATGAACTCTAAATCCTTTCGCATTGATGCTGAAAGAGTTCGGCTGCTGCTGCGGCCACATGGATATAAAAATGATATCGACTGATGAATGCTAAAAGAGTGCCGCTGTCCTTCCAGAGGGCTGTGTCGGACAGCACGACAGGCATCTTGGCGGTGACGAGGTTTTGCAGCTCGCTGTTGTAGTCCCTTGGAAAACGGTAGGAGTTAAGGCCCTACTAGTTCTAGCTGCACATCACCGTGTTATTGAGACTTGGTTCTGTGCTTAGGGGATTAAACGTTATGGTTTGAGCAGTATTTGGGATTCATCGGGGGGGGTAGGGTTAAAGATTTGCAGGGTTTCGGATTCGGAGATTGGTGTCCGGGTGTAAAATAGACCCAACACGTGAATCTAAACACGTATTACACTCAGAGCCTACCACACACCCACACACACACACAAACACACCCACACACGTGATACGGCGCAGATATACTAGAACACAGGCACATGAACACGAACATAGAGTCACGAGCACATAGTGTGCGAGAGAACATTCTGCACGTATAGACACGGCTTCACTAGCCAAATCGAGCTCCAAGCCTTTCTGTAAACATTCATACCAGTCTGTATCTGTACACACATTCAGTTCTCTCATATACATATGTATATACACATGTCCGGGAACATAATTATGTACATATACATACATACAGATGCTAATTTAGTTTCTATAGTATGATCAATCCTCGTATCTCTCTCTTTCTCTCACTATCTCTCGCTCCCGCTCTCTCTGTGTACTGCTGGCACGTAACCCCTCGACGCCGCGGCGTCTCGCTTTCACGAGGTCCTCCTCCTTGAAGATCGCGTCGCCGCTGGCGTCCTTCGACGTCCACATGTCCTCCAGGATCTGGAAGAGAAGGCAGGTGGTCTCGAGCAGTTGTTCCCAGGCTTCACCACTGATTCTGGCTGTGCTTGCATTCCGGCATTGCTTCTTACGAACTCCGAAAGTGAACAGCAGACGCTCCAAGAACAATTCCTGCTTTGCGGCAGTAACTGTTTCCACTGCTTGCCACCAAGGGTTCGGGGATTTTCCGGTTGAGCCAATTAGCCATCTCTGGTTCCTGATGGTCTCCACCGAAAAGGCTGACAGGGCGGCAGCACATTAGACTGAAATCAACAGTACAATATACACGGTACACTATTTCAAGATGATGCCCTGCCTGACTGGGCCCAAGTGTTCGCTTGCAAGTGGCGAGCCATCATCTGCTGCGAGCCTTGTGAGACTCCGAAGACCAAAGCCTGCGGCTGCATTTAGGGAACAGTATACAGTACAAGGAAAAGAACGACTAGCAGAGCACGACACATTGTGACATCCTTGCTTGCTGACACCGAACAACTCTCTCATTTTGCGAACGAGTCCTTAATCTGAAGCTCTTATGGGCCCGCCTTCAAAGCAAAGCCCTCTCGCTCCGCGAGCCGGTACTGAGCACTTTGCGCCGCCAGGCCGTAGCAATTGTATTCGCCGATGGCTTCGTTGAGGGCATGTTCGAGGCTCCATCCCGGATTCTCCTTAGGCTCTAGGGCTACAAATATATCAGCATTATCAGTTGTACTTATGTATATCGTTCCGGACAAGTATCTTCCATGAGCGAGACAGCCCGTTCCTGGAACTTGAGTGCTGTCTGAAGCAAGTTCTTTCTCTCGCGGAGGGATGCCTGCCAGAACAGTTGTTAATGAAAATTGATTATTCATCAGATAAATAACTCTCATTGTCATGCCAGCCTGGTGGGCCAGTTGCATGCTTCGCCACGAGTATTCATGGGCAGCCCTGACGGTAAACGTCGCCGGCAACATCAGCACGCTTTCCAGCCACCTCAGCCACAACACGTCAGGTCTCCAGAATTGATATTTAGAAAGTGTTTCATATGAATGATGCAGCAGCAGATCAAAGTTCATATCAAACCCACACACATGCTGGCCGGACCCAGATTTTATCGGTGGTTTCGGTCTCGATGCACCAACAACACGACCCGAATCCCGCTCTGACCCAATTTATCGGCACTGCCGGCGGCAGTGCCTTTAAATCTGAATCCCTTCCCCGACCAGCTTAAACCCAAGTATCCCTGGCACCCCCCCTGCGTAGTGACCCAAACTTAAGGTGGTCGAGCCCGGTTCTGCGATTTATCGGTCATGCCGGCGGCAGTGCCTTTAATCTGAAACCTTTCCCGCACAGACCCAGAATATCGGCGCTTTGTGATTTGGATAAGGACTCTGAGGGCTCATGATTCTGCATTTTTGATGCTATCCCACCCTAGAATCAAATGCAAATTTGCTGGCAAACCACTCCGTGAAAAACACCCGCTCGGGCTCGGTCATGCTGGTGTGGTCCTCTTTCATAATCGTCTGCACGATGCCGTAGAGGAGAATTGAGATTCGCAGGAAACCTTTAGAGACGCCTACCGCCCCTTGGAAAAGACACTCCCCGGGTGCCAAGCCGGGGGTCAACTGAATCTCTATCGGCTCCCTGCTCTTCTCAAACCCATGAAATATGGATTCGGCGAACTTATCCATATTGATCTTCGGCGGCCACCCGTCGACTGGCATGCTGTACTTGAAGGAAAACAAAGGTATCTCCACACTGCCATCTGTGGTGGGGAACCGAAACTTGTTCAGTTGCATGGCCTTGGCCAGAGTTTGCAAGCGAAGCTGCAGTGTCGCATGTAGATGCCAGCAGCAACTAATGGGAAGCTGTCGGGCACATACAGGGCTGTTGAGGTGACATGTATGCTAAGTATCGCCTACACATCCAAAGTCCCGCCGAAAACCGAAATCTTTGAGACCTTGAAATCAAAAGCCTAGGTGCATGCGGCACGGAGTCACATCGCCCTCGGTGGTGGAGCCACGAAATCACATTCTCCCCTAAGTTCTCAAAAGTCTCCTGGTCCCCACCAAAGTACTTGTGAACGAGCTGGCACGGGTGCTCGTCGTTCTGCAGGTCATAGTTCCTTGGACTTAAATTCTGGTAGGACAGAACAGTAACCTATGCAATATGAACCCCAGTCCGAAAAATGCCATTCTTGGTCATAAACAAGGCTCTCCATTGAACACATCATACGAAGGACCCATGGTTTGGCACCCTCATGCAAGCCCTTTGCTGCTTTCGCGGCCCTGGAGGCTGGTGCCAGAGCGGGGGGCCTCTTACCCATCACGGAGGGCCCGGAGGACGGACTGGAAGCCGTCCGTTCTTTTGCTCTTTGGGCTTCTCACAGAAGACTGACGATTAGATGCAGTCGTAGCAAAGGCTGTTGCAGACTTCAACATTGACTGTAGCTGAATTGATTGATTGAAGGCCACAGAGCCTAGCACTGGTAATGATCCAACTGAAGCCACAAGCCTCCATCACCCAGCTGATTTCGGAATCTGAATCTCAGGGGCACAACAACGACCGCGCCGGAACTGCAGCTGGCAAGCAGGCAAGGACACAGTTCGTACACTTGTGCAGCGCGGTCTTTTTGGGCTTCGGCTTTGGACTCGTGGTCCGAATCTAGACTTCAAGCATGGTCAGCTTCCGCAGCAATGAACCACGACTCTGACCATTCATTGATTCAGTGACGGGCATGAGTTCCAAGCCCAGACGAAAAATGTTGGCATCAAATTTTTTCAACGAAAAGGGCAGCTAAGATCAAGATAAGCCCTGCGGAGGCAACGTGCATCCCATTTCCTACAAGATGTGCCACGGAGCTGTACGGCATGTCGGCCACCGGCACCATCGGGCTCTTGGCGAGCTTTGCCTGGGCTGCACTCCAGAAACAGAGACAAAGAGAAAGAGAGAGAGAGAGAGAGAGAGAGAAAGCTTAGATTCTGGGCGGCGCATCCTGCGACTGCATCGTGTCTGATACCGTGCTTGATTGTAAGATATGACATGTGACGGGTTTGGCGGGAAAATCAAGCGGTTGCGTTCGCATCTGGTTTTTAAGTCCAGCTCCGTATCAGCTAGCAGACTAGAGTAGGACATCCCAAAAACCTCAACCATACAAAGTGGAAGCCACTTTCCCGGAATTGTGGAATGATGGTGGGGGAGGGAGAGAGAGAGGAGGAGGGAAGGGACAAGGAGAGGAGGGAGAGGGGGAGAGGGAGGGGTAGGCAGGACAAGGAGGGGAGGGAGAGGGTGAGAAGAAGCGACGTGTGCGAGTGTTGCTGGACGAATGTAGTCCCTTAGTGTACACATTACTTCAGCCTAGTTGCTTGAGCTTTGCTGCTCGGCAGCACCATCGCTGCACACATCTCTGCTGAAGACATGAGCCGGTCACACGAAGTGCAGTAAAGCTTCGTGTTCGTCTTGATAGTCATGAGATGCCCATCTTTCAGCTCCGTTCGAAAGAAGTCTGCCTTTCGCTGACTCAAATCGAAGACCTGCCGACGAGACTGCTAGGTAGCATTCACCCAAATCATTCACTGAAAGCGAGACGGTCATGCTAAGCCTGCTTCGACTCTTTGAAGCAGCGCTTGTACGACTTGGCAGTCTTCATGTCGTTGCTGCTCATAGCTGGGGAGTTCGTGGAGTCATGAAAGAAATCACTGGCCTCAGGGTGCATTTTTGAATAATGATTGTCGGGGTTCGATTCTATTCTTCTTCGTGTCAACACCGTGCTCTTGGGCTACTTGAGACTGCGGACCTTCATTGTTGGCGCACAGTGAAAAGCCTGCACTAGCTCTGTCAGCGATTTGTCGGTCGTCCAGCGAGTAGACGAGCGAAGGCAAAGAATGCACCAAACCCGGCTCCGAGAAGCAGCAAACCCAATCTCGATCGGGCTAAACACTGTGCTGTGGACGTCGCACAAGTCACCTCGGGATAGGTTGTAGGCAGTTCGGCTGGGGTCTGATCAAGGGCACCAGTGTTAGCTGCTCCTAGCTGGTGGGTGTTATGATAAAGGGCACTAAATACTTTTGGCTTCTCCTGGGAATGTGCCACGCTATCTCTAGGGCTCTAGGGTCTCGGAATTCAAGTGGCGGGCTTCGAGCTCGCACAGGTTTGTTTGGTTTAAGTGTGGGATTCGTGCTACAGGGTTTGCAAGCCTGGAAAACCACCAATACCTCGTCCCTAAACTCTTGGCAATGCTTCACTACAATTGCAAGCCTAAGCTTGTAACGAATCTTAATCTTGTACTCTATAGATCCCTCAGCTGCTCGTGTCGTAACAAATCTAGAATCCCTTGAACCCTTTCCAAATTTTCCTCTGCTGTACAAAGGAACCCCCAACGTCTGAGCCCCAGGCCCTAATCCTTAACTTTGGTTATAAAACCCTTCGTGGCTAGCGCACAACCCCTGATAAAGTGGCTAGGGTAGCGAAAAGCCGAGAACATGACCCAGCTCATCCCGCAACAATTGGACGTCGTAACCCGGCGTGTTCTCGAAAATCACCAGGTCCTGCGGCAGAATAGCTAGCACGGCTACGACAGTCGTGTTAGGGTAAGTTGGCAATCCTCGCGGTTCATGCGACGGTGCTGCATCCATGTCTTGTGGGTCACGTAGCGCGGGTCGGCTGTCTGAGCAGGTCAGCGGGCTTTAAGCGGAATCAGAAGCAGCAACCTAAGACCTAACCCCTGGCCTTCAACTTTTTTCCGCTCACTGAGAACGGACAACAAGTTGGCCCTGCACCCTCCACAGAAAAGCCACCGTGTCGATGAACCGACGAGTGGGGCTCAACACCAACAGCGCAATTTGCATTGTGGGTGTAGCAGTAGGCCCGCAGCTGCTCCCCAGCACGATGATCCAAGTTCCATTGAAGAACATCACCGAACCTGAGAGAGAGGTTGCAAACATCAATGCTGCATTGGAAGGACTTCGGGCTCCTAACTTCGATCGCCTGGGGGTAGAGTTTAAAGTATCACGGAACAAACAGGGTAACTTTCTAACTCAAAGTCTACCCCAGTCTCCAGCTAAGCCCTTTTACGAACATTACCGGGCAGAGAGAAGTATATCAATCATATTGGAATAGAGCAGTTTTTGGGTCAACTCCTACATCCCCTCATTCAGATAATGGTTTACACCCTGACTGACTCCAAAGACTTGGTTCCAAATCCCACAACCCCCCGAAAACCGAAATCACAGCGAATGTTCGGACCCCCATGAATCGCATCATGCACAGCGACGCCGAGAACATGCATGCATGCACGGCCCTGAACTTACTTCGCGACCCTCCCATGAATCAGCAAGTCCATCGTGACTCAGATTGGACGCAGCAACAGTGCACCGAAGGTCGGGCTCAGTCTCAAACAATGATAACTTATAGCGCCTGTGTCGTCGTGTTCACAACAGCCCGAGATTCACGTCCTGTTCATCCACAGTCAGATCGCGACATGCCGGACTCGCACCACGAACTCTTTTAGTATTCATGTGGCCGTCAAATCTTTTAGTATTCATGTGGCCTGTCACTGAAATGCTGCAATCAGTTGACCCCTTACTTTCGATATCATCCCTCCTGTCAATCAAGTCAGTTTTGCAGGGTCTCTTTAAGGGTGCATCCTATGGGGCCAAAACTGGCCAGCTATCGCTCAGAGATGCTTCATATGATTTCCAGATCGGATCTACCAGGTGTTGGCCTTCAATGCGTTTGCCTGCCACGGCACGAAATGATTATTACAAAGGTCAGCAGTTAACAGTTATTGTCTCCCCGAGCCTGAGACGATGTATGAATCTTGGACTAACCTACCACATCCTATATCTAATGTGGGATAGTGCGAAGCTTGGAAGCCTGAGGCCACTCTTCCCATGGTCACAGCACATTTAATGTTTGAACCCGACCGGCCAGTCCTTCAAGGGCTTTAAGTACATACTATGAACCTTGCACTATTGCCTCCCCGGGTTTCAGAAACAGTCTGTCAATATCATCATGAAACGTACACCATCAGCTCCCTGGCTGGAAAAAACTTGAGCTATAACAGAGTTTCCTACCAATTCCGCTGGGGCCTAGTCCTGCTAATAATAACAACACATCGGTTCTTTTGTTATCGCATTTCTTATCCCCATGCAAGTAACACTGAACCACACTGTAAGGCCATCAGAAGCAGCCAAAACCATTACAAATATTGTGAAGACACTGCAACCGGCCAAAAAGACGATCGGAGGGTTCACTGCATCACAAACAGCAACCGTAACCCTGAAGCCGTACTGAATCTGTATCCAGAATATTTAACAAACCTTGATACCGAGCTAACTCCCTAATCTGACAGCTAAATTCAATCCCATTCTGATAGAAATATTGGGGCCCAGCGAAACATTAAAAAAAACCCTTGATGCCAACCTAAATGCCTGTTCTGGCAACAATACTGGGGCCTAGTCAAACACAAAGCCTGGAACCCAAAGGAAGAAGCGGGGACACCCCAGCCCCATAAAGCCAGGAAGTGCTCCCCAATCCCAGACCGAACACCATCACTTGTTTCCTAGCAGCGCACATGCGAACGTTTTCATGCGGAGTGAGGAAGTGCCGCAGACATGCATCGCGCATGGGTTTACAGTTATCGCCATCTGAAGTTTCGTTTTTCGCTTCCCACACGATCAACTGCAACAAC